AAAAAAAAAAAAAAAAAAAACTCTAAATCTATTGCAGATGGACGTTATCGTGCATGGCTTTTTGCATGGGGCATGCTGACTGAATTGTGCACTTGGTGTTTGACCATGCAAGGCACTGGGTCGGAAATGAACAGACGTGTATTGCACATTTGGTTGATGAAGCTCCGAAAGAAAAAAAAAAGTTTTAAAAAAAGAAGAAGAAGAATAAAAACGTCTATTGCAAGTCAGCGCGTTTGGCAAAAGGTTAAAGAGCAGGGAAACACTGTTTTCGGAAAAGAAGAAGAAGAAGAAAAAAAAATAGAGCTATAAATCAATGCACTTCAATTTCTTTTGCATGCAGTTCCCGTGTGTTGGACTGTTCTTGAAGGCAATCACAGCGTTAATTGCCAATCAGCGGCGCTGTCAGAGGGTCCGACGGGTTTTTATTCGGTAGAGGAAGAAGGTCTGTCAGGTTACTTATCTGGAGCTCCTGCCGAAGGGGGGGGGCGCCTCCTCTGGCTCTCGCTGGGTTTTTAAACGCTCCCAATCTCAAGACGATGAAAATCGCGATTAATAATCACTGTTCTCTCATTGCTTAAAGGGTGTCATGGCCACGCTCGGAGAGGAGTGTAGGGGGGTGGTGGGGGGGGGTAGGAAGAAAAAGAAGAGAAAGCTCTAAACCAAAAGCAGAAGCTACGGCGCCAAGCGCAAACGCTGAATCGCTGGGAGAAAAAATGATGGCTCTTTCGAAAGCGGAAAGCTTCAGATCGACACAATGATCTTTACACACAAACACACACCCCCTAAAATATTTGGGGCTGACAAAAAAAAAAAAAACCCCCCCATTTACTTTTTTGTGATGGTGAATGCTCCCCCCCCCCCCTTTTCGAGGTGGTCCTGGCAATTTTCCCCTTCTCTTTAAACCCGTCTTTCTTTCCACCTCTCCCTTCTGCCCGGCAATTTATTCAAATAATTGTCTGTGAGGGCTCGCTCCTTCCTCTTCGACGGAAACATAGTGCTTTTTCATGTTGACGTTTCCCTCTTTTTCGCAGGTTTTTCCTCGTTGTAATATGTAGCCCTCTTCCGCCTCTCCTCCCCGTCGCCGCTCCGCGAAACACCCCCTTCCTCGGATCCCTCTGAGTACTTCCTTCTCATGTATATATTTATGTATATATATAGATATATATATCTATATATATATATAAATATATGTCACCGGCTCGGCTTCCCCTCCACTGACGTCTTATCGTGTTGGTGATGCTCCCCCTCGCTGCCTAGCATGAGCAGAATGTGGCTACTCTGGCTTCCCCCAGCGGTTCCCGGAGCGGCTGCCGGAGTCGCTCCTTCTATCGGTTATCTCCCGTTTCTGACGGTCTGTCCGCACAAACAAAATGGCGGCTTGTTGTTTCTACTCTGATACGGGGGGGGGGGGGGGTTTGAGGTACAGCAACATTAGGCGTGAAGGGGAGGAGGGAGGGAGTGGAGGGGAGGGGAGGGAGGGAGCGAGGGAAGAAGAAGAGGGCAGGTTTGTCTTCGTAAGTGTTCGGGAGTGTCCGGAAACCGGTGTCGTGCCAAGGTAGTTATCGCTGCGATAAGAAGAAGTGGACCCCCCCCCCTACACACACACACACACACACACACGCGCGCGCTCGCGGAGTTGGACCCACATTACTGCTCTGATTTCACCCTCAGAGACCCTGCTCTGTGTTGTGTATGCATTAACAAATAGCAGTTTGATAAAAAATGCAAAAATGGACACATCTTATACCTTGGGTTCACGTATCCAGTGCAAACAAAATCTAACAGTTGCTGTAATTTATCCTAGATTCTACTTCTTAGAGGGGAAATGACCATTATTGTTATGATGATAGCCTAATACATTGCATTGATGGCACTTAGTGGTTTGTTATATCTGTTTTCTCTCTCTGTGAGCTTAACTTTATTTAGACATAAGGTGTAATGTTTGGCAAACACAGAGATAATCCCTAATTACTTTAACAATTATGTGTTCATCTTTTTTTTTTTTACCCCATCAAAAGAAACCTACAGTCTCAACAGCACCTTTTCTTTGCAAAAGAGCTTTATTGAGAGTTGATGTAGATTAGTCAGATTGAGAAACCCAGCCTGCCAGAATTTCACCCCCAAACATAACAGAAAAAGATTCTACTCATCCTTATTTACAGGAGCTACTTAGCAAAGTCTACAGCATGTACTGACTCAAACATTTGATGATTCAGTATAAGGTACAGTGTGCAGACTCTGGCAGGCTGAGAAATACAATCTGCCCAAAACCTGTATCCCCTGTACTTGAATTCTAAAAAAGTAAAACTTCTCCACATTATTCGGGTAAAGAAAGATTATATGACATATGTTTGAGATAGAGCTCATATTTTAACCAGATAATTCATTATAAGGAGGAGGGGAATACTGGTACAAATGTGCTATTATCTATATTCTTGATAAAATTTTAGAAAAGAAAGACAACCCTTTGCCATACTCAGTAGATCAAACACAATCTGATATAACTGTTGAAAAGAGATTTACAGGACAGTTGAACATACACATTTATGTAGTAGAAATGGAAAATACAACCAGGAATATGAATCCCAATTTGTGCCTCTGCTTGATTTTTGTAGAGTAAAAAACATTTCCATACTCTGCATCAAAGAACACAGAAACAAATAACTTCATCTTACGCTTCATCAATATAATCTTTTCCCCCTAGAAGCTGGAATAGCTTTATTTCATTACAGGAGAGTATATTTTATAAATTATTACTCCAGTGCATTAATCAAATGAAGATTGATGAACATTGTTCCTTTTTTTTAATCCCACAGAAATGTTGTATTCATTTACTTTTGCAGTATATTTGACCTTATTGTTGGATGCCCTTTTGTTGCATTCTATTCAAAGTACCTGAAGCTTTTCACATTCATTGTTCTATTTCTAAATTATCTTTCATTATTTTATCTAAAAAAAATAAAATAAAAACAACTTGGGACTAGATCTAAAGAAACAAACAATCATGGTGATGCTTTGGTTGGTTAGATCTAGGCTAAGAAATATTATGTCCCAAAAATGTAGGTCAGCTGACCACCTGAATATATTGAATCACCAGGTCTGTTTACATAACGCCTGATGAAGTGGACATATTTGAAGTGTTTCCCTTCTTCCACTATTTCTATTTAAATATATCATCTGGTGAGTTAATGACTAACTCAAACATTTGAAAAATCTGTGAAAACAAAAGAAGTTCCACTTACCATACATTCGAACTTCAGAACCTAGTTTGTAATTTATCACACAACAATTGGTCCTTCCGATAAACTCAAACACGAATCAGACCTATAAAGTTGTTAAATACACATCATTAGATCTAATGTGTACTGTTCTGTTTGATCATTGATGTTGGACTTGATTTACTTTACTTTACCTCACTTGCTGGGCTCTCTGTATCTATGGATATTATTATATCAATGACGAATGGATGTAATGTTAAATTATATGGAGCCATTTTGTTATTTGAATGTAAAGGTATAGCTTTAGTTTATCAGCGGGATCTATTGGTTGATACAATATGGTAAAAGAGTGGAAATTGAGCACTAATGCAATGAACACACAGCTGAACTTTTATTAAAATGCTATCATGACCGGGGTTTGACCCTATTTCGGCAATCAATTTCAATTTAATCTGAGGAAAAAAAATAATCCAAACCTCAAAGTGCTAAAACGCATATGAGCAAAGCAGGTGCTGGTCCAAACAGCCGAATCATATCAGTCACCAAAAACATGCCAATAGTTTCATTTAAATGATTTTACAGCCTAAAAGGTGAGGCTACACTGACTATGATGCAGTCACACACATTTGAACATAAAACGGTCAGAAAAAAGCAACAAACCCACTTTTCTTTTTCTTCTGCAACTACAAGAGACTCGATTCCTCCCACTTAAAAGGAAGGGTGATCGTTAGTTACGCTTCTTGCTGCCCACTTCTCCACAACCACTGTGATTATCAGCATTGTTTTTCACTCCACAATGTTTATTACAAAGTAACAGGATGAATAAACAATGTAATTTCATAGTTCTGAGCTGAGATTTGAAATGATTTTAATCCATATCAAACAACTTTTTTGAAAGTTCCAACACACACACACACACACACACAACACGCAACATCTCCGTTCCGTTCACATTTCACAGGCAGAAAAAAAAGATGATTCGTCACCGTAGAAACATGGAGGCCGGGTCATAAAACACGTTTGGTTTCCCTGCTCGCACTACAGAGCGGTGACTTCTGTGTGTTTGTTTAATCTATTTAACAAATGTCATTATAGAGAAAAATACATTAAAAAGGAATATTAAAATGTTTTTCTTTCTTCTTTTTAGTAGAGCTACTTGTATTCTTAGCAGGAACCTTTGTGCAAAAGGTGACTTTTTATGTGAGGCTCAGCATCAGAATTCCCAGGATGCTGATGGCACCATACAGCTCATGGTGCCTTTAACATAATCAGTTATTCCTGGACTTCTTACACTCACACTGCTCCACCGTTGGTTTTTTTGCTTTTGAAGGTTTGTTGATGTTCTTGAGCATCTGGCATACGACCAGCTGCGAGTAAATCACACGTCTGTCGAGTCGATGAACCTCACCGCTAGTCCTACGGTGGATCCCGGACTGCAGGGACCCGGGGGCCCCTGGCTTTCATGTCATCTCTCTCCCCCTCCGGCCCTATCTCCCGGAGCAGGCCTCCTCCACGTCGGCGACTGTCTTCGGCGTGTCGGAGGACAGAATCAGGGGCCCCCCTTTGTCTCGGATCACCACGTCGTCCTCAATCCTGATGCCGAGGCCGCGCAAGTGCCTCGGCGCCTGCTCGTTGTCTTCACAGATGTACAGCCCTGTGGCGAGGGGGAGAAGGACGGACAAAACGTTTATGCCGAGTTCAAATATTTGCGCGGCGATTTGTGGCGTTTAAGGCCGGGTTTTGTTCTCTCCACCCCATACCTGGCTCTACGGTGATGGCCATTCCTGGCTGGAGAGGTTGCGAGCGCGATAATTCGGGAGTGTCATGCACGTCCATGCCCAGGTAGTGGCCCACATGATGGGGGCAGTACCGCCTCGCAGCCTGAGGAGAGACAAAAAAAAAGCTAAATTAAGAAGCGTGCTATCAACAGTCGAAAAAGACGACTAAATATTCCTTTTATTCTGTCAAAAGCAGCTTCTTTTTCTTTTGCCCAGAGGCAAGCTCTCACATCTCAAAAACAGGGAGGGAAGTGCACGATTTTAATTTACACTTTCACCTTTTAGAGAGCCGTTTCAGTCAGTCAGTTCAGAGATAGTCTTTTTCCTAAAACTCCATGTTCATCTGAAGTATCATGAACAAGTCTTCTTTATGTTGCCAGGAAAGCAGGAAATAGATGGAGCCATCTAAACAATCATAAATACATGTGGAACACAGACATGCTTTCCTCTGATTTCATTAAGATGTCTTCAAGAATAATTCTTCTGAAAGACATTCCAAAAATCCTCTTTGGCTGTTGGCTTCATTTTGTTCCGTTCCAAGTCAAGATGATCACACAATGCTTTAAGGTTGAGATTTTCATTCCCTCATAACCTGTTGCAGCTGATTTTTAGTCAACTTTTCGTGTCTTTTAGTACAGCTCAGTCTTTTCTCCACATTTCCCTTCCTTAAGAATGGCCAAATGACATCCGGTAAACACCGGATGGATCAACTAGAGGCTCAGATACATCTCTCAGGTTGTGTCAGATCCTTGCGGATTTGTTTTTTTTTCTTAAGAACATCATGTTCAGATTGCGTTAATCTTTGGTTTTTCTTTGTTTTTTAAGGACACACTGCACATCATGCTGAGATATGACCACTTTTCCGCCAATAGCTCTTTGCAAATCACTATTTTGGTGTCAAACTATGTTATGTCAAGCCTTTTTTGTTATATTCAGCTAAATAAATGAGAAAAAAATGACGTCAACAGGATGTTAGTCACAAAATACTGAAAGATATTCTTTGCCTACTTTTCTTTGGTTACATTTTGTGTTATGTGCAGATAACTTTTTTATGCTTGAAAATGACATTTATTAGTCAGTGTTTTTGGAGGTTTAACTTTAAGAACTTCTGGAGAACTGTCGCTCAGGAGAAAACAGGAATTTTTGGTGTACGTTTCTTTCTTTCGGATTCCTTACCTTGAGCACGTCAGCGTCGCTGGTAGCGGCCTTGAGGATGCCGAGGCGCTTCAGCTGCCGGCCCAGTAGGGCTAGCATGGTGCTGTAGATGTGGTCGAGGCTGACGCCCGGGGAGCACAGGGACAGGCAGGAGCGCTGAACCTCCAGCACGGCCTCGTACAGCTCGGCCTGGGCCGGGCTGAATCTGCCAGAGGGGAGGTGGAGGAAATGGCTCAGCTGGTCACAAACAAATGCACAGATTTCTCTTCCTTTCAATAAAAACAAACAATCAAACCTATTTCCAATTACTGTCTGGGCCGACTTTATGTTCTGTATTAGCTCAGAGGAGTTAAAGCCAGTGTCAAAGCCCGGGATAACAGCTCGCAGCTCCTTTGCCTACATCTGTATTTGGTGTACTAAACATTAACCTGATGGGCTTGGCGACTGACACTCATTTCGAACTGTACCTGCTGACATTATCCCGCCAGACTTACCTTCCATTCACCGGCCATGTCCGAGTGATGTCACTGACATAACCAAAGTACTCACAGCCACCGTCAAGCAGGACCATCTCGCCATCCTGGTGAGGGAGACAGCGAGGACAGTGCCGAGTGAGCCCTCAGAAAACATCTTGTTCTCGTCGTCCACAGCGTTATTACCTTGATAATCTGGTTGTTGTTAATGTAGTGCAGGGTGTTAGCTCGATTCCCTCCGGCCACCACGGGGGGGTAGGCCAGGAAGTTGGCGCCATGGATCCGATTCTCAAAATCAAACTGGAAAGAGAGTTGAATTGGAAAAAGTGCTTCCTTTTTTTTTTTTTAACAGGGGAAGTGTCTGAGTCACAGTTTTAAGACTTGACGGCGTCATCCGTCAACTCTTTTTAACTGATTCAGCTACAATCTGCCACCAGAGACCAGGGAAAATGATCAACAATTTCCTCCATACATATTAAGCAATATCAACCTTTTCCGTTCTAAATCGATAAATCGATTCGCCGTCACCACAACAACACTCATCCTGAGGTCAGTGGAAATCATCTTTCAGTTATTTTCTACCTTTTACAAAGTTGTTAAGATGGAACAAGTTTAGAAAAAAAAAAGCGAAAAGTTGTTTGGTTTGCTTTTGCGTTGGCAAATATTTACCATGTACAAGCAGAGGAAGTGAAAAAAATCTAATCAAATCAAAAGATGACCGCAGAACATGTGATCTGAAGCACACCGAGATGACTAAAGGTCAGCGGCTACCTTTGCAAACAGCACAGCTTCATCCACGTCTCCTTTAGACAGAGCCATTGTTCTTCTAAAAGCCTGAAAATCAAACATTCAACTTTAGCATGTCACACTTTTACTAGCCATGTTAGCCGTGTTTTATTAGCCATGCACTTGGCTGTGTGGGTGCACGTGAAGAAGAGGCTGTGGCACCTTTGCTGTGATCCGACCCGCTTCTTGCATGAGTGCCACCTCGGATGGGCTCTTGAGGGCCCTCAGCGAGTGCACGAGGGGTCTGAGCGAGCGAGGGGTCGGGCCCGCTTCCAGCACGGGCAGCAGGTGGGTCTGGTGGAGGCGAGGGTGGGCAGGCGGGGACCCGTCGTACCACAGCTGAGTGCCTGGATGATGCAAAGGGGAGCAAAAACCATAGAAGCTGTTTTATGAGAAAATCAATTCCCAATTACCGCTTATTATTTCTGCATTTTGTGCATTTGATGGTAACAAGTGGTTGACAGATTCAAACATCAGGGTACATTAATCACACCAGGTCAAAAACAGACCCCCTGTGAACTGGAATGTCCAATCAAATGGAGGAAAAGACAAAAATGACCATTTTAATCAGCTATTTACACATTCTGTTACAAAAATTACTCAAAAGCTTGTATCTGTGATAAAATATAAAAATACCTTTTTTTTAAACCAGGTTTTATTTTCCCCATTAAAGAAGCAACATTAACAGCATCGTTGTCTTATATGTTCCATTTACTACCACAATCTGATTTTGTCATTTGTATTTCTGCTTGATTTTTTGGTTGTTTTCATTTCTAAATGCGTGAAACCAACACCCCCTCATTTTAAGAATTGTCACAGATTTATCACCCACCTTTCAGGCTCTTTAACACAACGCCCAGTTCCTCTATGCTGTGGACCCTCTCTATGCCGGTCAGAGCAGCGGCCCCGTCCCTCCCTGACCGGGGTCCATCCCACAGCTCCCTGCTGGGATCTCTGCGGGGGACGAACAGGGTGGCCTGGTCTGGTCGACTTCTCCCATGAAGAACCAAAGCACTGTCGGGTTCTAGGAAACCACTGAGGTAGAGGAAATCCTGACAACACACAGCTTAATGTTAATGTAGGACGTTATTCATTTTAACTGGGATAATACGGTAGGGCACAGTTTGTATAAGTTTGTATAACTAGATTTCACCTGGTTTTGGTGGAAAGGATAAGGGATGTCGTTGGTCATGTAACGGGTTGGATGGGATAACAACACGACCACGTGGTTGCTGGAGGAAGCAGAAGGCCCCAGCCTGTCTGCCTGGGCCTCGATAAGTGAGGCCAGCTTGTGCCTGCGGAGCTCGTACTCCGTCTGGCTGATGCCCGGGGTCACCTCACCTGAAGAGTCCGGGGAGAACAGGCCTCGGCTTACTTCATAAAGACAGGCTTCCACTGTGAGCAGGGCCTGAAAGGAGGTGAGCGGTCTGCAACCGGCCGCAGGGCTTACCGGGTTTGACGAGGTGGGGGTGCGTGAACGGGCTGGGCTGGCCCAGGTAGCGCGATGGAACCGCCTTTGGTTTCAGGCCTCCTGGTTTGACAGAGATGCGTCTGCACGGGCACAAGATGAGCCCTACACACAGCACAACACAGTTAGAGAACTTCTTAAACTTTTTTCTATAATTCAATGCTGCTTGTGGCTGTGCTGTATGACTTTTTTTTTTGGGGGGGGGGGGGAAACTCAAAGGTTAAAAAAGGCATTGGACAATTACTGGTATTCAAATGTAACATCTTCATCTGAAAGGGGGCCCTTTCTGTTAAATCACTGCCTGATCAAAAAAAAAAAACACAACTTGATTCACCCTCTATATTCTAAGTGCGTTTTGGAGAGTTTAAGTAAACGAATGGACTCAAAAATCTGGCCGGAGAAATTCACTTTATGCAAAAGTTGGTTTTCATATATAGAGGATGGTCCTTTTCCATTTTGAAATGACATGATTAGATTGTACAATGACTTTCAGCAGTGGATCACACTATCTGGATCAGGTAAACTTGTCATTTACCCACCTCCGCTCCAGCTCTGCTTTGGCAGCAGCTTGGAGGCAGACCTCACCAGAGTCCGGACCGGGGGCAACATTGTCGCTGCAACTGGAGGACACCGACAACTCACACCATGCTTTCCCGCTGCGGACACGAGAAGTCACACTCAGCGAAGCACCGCGTAGAAATACACAAACAAACAACGACAACAACAACACGGGGCTACAACTTACCGACGTTAAAATCATCTTAGTTACACAAACTGTTATATACTTCTCCTTGTTGACAGTTACATTAGCTCGCCGACTACTGTACTGGTCATGTTCATTTCGAAGAGTGGGCACATTAAGCCCCGAGTTTAGGTTGACAGGCAAGAGAGATTAATCCCACCCCCACTTTGCAAACCTCCTGAATTTATAAAGGTCCCGTAGCAACATTTTCAGGAAAAAAAGGGAAATAGAATAATTTATTTTCCATCCTTCAATTCATTGAATCAAGCAGTGGTCATAATGCTGTGAGTTGGTTGAATTGGTAAGGAATTAGCAGGGACATCCGAGATCATTGTGCCTCGTAAAAAAAAAAAAAAAAACTGTTTCTGTGCAACAGTAAACTTTGCAAACTGCAACAGGCGTTTGTTCACTAACTCACAGCTTTCTTTTCCTCACTGTATTCAGGTAATCTGGCTAATAAATCTTGTTTAAAATAAACAGTTGCATGCATTTGAAAACTCTAGTTAGTCGTAGTAACTAAAATTACTAGCACTACTAGCTCAGTTTATTTTAGTTTAGATTTTTGTATTTTTAGATACCTGTCCTCTTGGTTCCATTGTATTTGAGCCATGAATGAATGCTTGTTTTGGAAATTTAAGGTAATATTTGGCACTATAATGTTTATTCGCATATTCAACTTTTAGATCATATTCTCTAAAAAAAAATATGACTAATCCCTTTTGGTGAAAATTGGGAATTTCCACGTAATAAACTACACTTAGTCCGTCTCCCTATCCACGTACGGGTAGTCCTAAGCGCCTGGAAGCCTGAACTCGGGAAATAATGCATTAGTGCCTTCTGTTGAGGTGACTAAAACATTGCCTGACAACTGAGTCTAGGGCCAGTTTTCTCCAAGACCTTCGGTCTGTCCGCGAATCCGCCTGAATTAAACTAAAAAGCGACGCCACTACCACTGAAGGGGTGCTGTGGAGATAAAACTGCCTGCTGCCTTCCTCTGCGTGTTTTTCCTTCCAGAACTCTCAGTCGTGCATATTTGTACCAGGTGCATCTACTTTAATTGCTTAAAATGGCACGCGACGTGTTTTAACGCCGTGGATTCGCATTGTTGTTAGCTAACCGATGTATTATGCGTCAAACAGCCAGCGCGTCGTGCGTTGGCTAATGTTTCCAGAAACTTCCATCTTTCGAGAATTGAAACAGTCACTGAACGTCCACGGCGCAGGAAGTTTATTTGTCAGACCAGCATTTTATGTGTTTTGGGGTTTTTTAGTTGCGAAATGAGCAGTGAGCTCATAGGCGACGCTCATTCTGGTCATGGTCGGTGACGTTACCTAGCTTAACAAAGTGGTATTAACATTCATAGCTAAGCTACGTTGTTGCTTTTTTTTTTAAACTCTTGCTCTACCCTCGATTACAGCTTTTCGTGTGCTGGACGTAACGCTCCAGGATGGACCCACGTAAAGTGGCAGAGCTGAAGGGCTTCGTGAAGATGTGCGAGTCCAATCCGGAGATCCTGCACCTTCCAGAGATGAGCTTCTTCCGCTCTTGGCTTCTGAAGTCAGTGAAAACCCAGTCGGAACTTTTGCACGTGCCTGCCAGCTCACAGTTTATTTCTCTTTTGCTGGGCCAAACTTTCAAAGAATGTAGCTTTTTCGACATACTTCATTGTTTTGAAATGACTACTGAGGTACTCAAAATTCGAAACAGTCTGTAGAAATACTGTGCACGTGCTTGTCCCGCCCACCATGCAGTCAAACCTGGAACAGCTCTCTTAGTGTGTTTAAGTCGAGATGGGGATACGTTTCTGGGCATGTCCCATCCAGATTGATAGGAAGCCTCATCAGAAAGAAAGAAGTGGGGGGGGGGGATGTCTGTTAGTTCAAATAAACCAGCACATATGTATTTTGGAATTGCTTAACAGACGTTTGCAGCTACTTTAAGGGAGCATTAAAGGACTTTATTTGGTGGTCCTGCCTCCCTTGACTGCTTAGTTGTTTTTATATTTACTTCATTGTAGAACTGACAATGAAATAAATTGAACAGGTATTCAAAGACATTTCTTTTGTTTTCTATAAGAACAAACCATCACAACAGATAGTTTTTATTTGAATTATGATGTAATTAGATGCATTTTTTTTACACCTGCCTGCTTTTATTCTTTTGACATATGAAAACCTGGATGGTTTAAAATGTGAAAACATCTGGATGATGATTCCTTCCACTAAATTGTCTTCATTATCTCAATTCACAGCATGGGGGCTACAATCCCCCCCCTGGCCAAGACAGAGGGTTCATGCCAGGTGATATATGTGTTTTTGCTTCAGCCATCTTCTCAAAACCTCTGAATTGTATAAAATAAGAATCATGTGATGAGAGTGTGTTCTCTCTTTGACCTACAGGGTGGCTGTCCCTGTGGTCCCCCCCCTGCAGCAGCAGCAGCAGCAGCAGCAGCACCTCCTGAGCCTCCGCTCCAGACTGAGAGCGAAGAGAGTGAATTAGGTACCATATACCCATCCGACATAGTCCAGACTTTAAGATTTTATTTTTATGAGCTAAGACACAGATTGAGATTGTACCACGTGCAGGCCGCCTATTTCAAAGCATGGCCAGGCAGATTTATTTTGGTTCATACAGACTAAAAGGTTGCACTGTGAGATTATATATTTATTTTTTTCTTTTCACAACGTAGCTCACAGATGATTCACTTAGCTTAAATGAAAAACGGAAGGAAGCTTGGCTTGTCTGAGGTGGCACAATCTGCTTCCCAGCACTACTTGAGTTTACTAATACATTAGTTTCTGTTTTAATCTCTAAACGGGAATATTGCAACAGTAACAAGTTGCTATTTAAGGCAGTAGTACATGCTTTAGGAGCAGTTGCCTGGAAACCATAGAAAAATCTAAAAAAAAAAAAAAGGAAAAAAGTTTTTGTCAAGGCCAAGCCTGTAACCACTGCAGGATTCACCCACTTTCATTTATTCATAATATGTGGCAGGAAGTTTGTCTCATTATTCATCACATATTTTGCAATTGATTGTAAACTTTGAAATTCCCCATAAAGCAGGCTTACGGTCTTGGGATTTTGTCTTTCAGACATTGAAATGGATGGCGTGATCGAACCAGACACAGATGAGCCTCAGGAAATGGGCGAGTTTGAAAACCTTGAGGTAAAAATGTTTTTCCCATCCTTCTTTAACTCCAAATTCAGCATGACTGTCACAGAGAAGTGTGGCAGTTCATTAAGATAGCATAAGATATACAAACATAAAACTGTCCTCAGGTCACAGAGGAGATGATGGACCAGGCCAATGAGAAGAAGATGGAGGCTATCGATGCCCTAGGAGAGGGTGGGTTCATTTATGAGTGTATTGATTTCCTGATTGTGGAAAACAAATGGAAAAGGATTAAAGATGTTTTCCTCTTCTCCAATAGGCGACCTGCAAAAAGCGCTTGATCTTTTCACCGCAGCCATCAAGCTGAACCCCCGCGTGGCCATCCTTTACGCCAAGAGGGCAAGGTGAGGGAGCTCTGTGTGTTAGAATGGGCTCACGCTGCGCCCGTCTGTCTGCAGCTGGAGCATAACCGGCCCCGTCTCTCCATTAGCGTCTACATCAAAATGCAGAAGCCTAACGCGGCCATTAGAGACTGTGACAGAGCCATCAGCATCAACCCAGACTCTGCACAGCCCTACAAGTGGAGGGGGAAGGCTCACAGGTACAATAGATTTCTGCTACCCGTATGTGTGTGTGTGTGTGTGTGTCTACATCTGTGAAGCAACCAGGCGAGCAAATAAAAACCTGCTCAACGTGTTTATCTGCAGCCCTGAAAGATTTCAGGAAGAAAAAATGTGTCGGTTAGTCATCCCGTGTAAATTCTGCCCTCAAAAATCCAGAAAAATTCACCTTTATCCTTAAAGGAGTGCCATCTATTTTAGTCCATGTGCTATGAATTTATAGAAGGGCAAACAGAGATGTTTGGTGGGAGAGAAACCATTATTCAGTACAACACAAAGCTCTGAAGTACTCAGATCATCGCGTCCCCTTCTTTTGAAAATATCAAATGGAAATCATCGGATCTGGGGATAAATGTCCAGGAAGTATGTAAAAACTGTTCTCTGTGTAAAAAAAACAAACAAACTCGGCAAACATGATAGATGTACTGCCATGAGGGCAGGAGCCACAGTAAAGCAAAAAAGCCTATTTAGGGCTTTAACTGTGACTGTTAAAGACAGTAATGGCTCAAATGGACCCAAAGCGACCTGTATCAAAACCCTGAGCTTTTAAAAAACATTTGGTCACGGTGTGACTTCTGTGTGACGATGCATCAGCCAATGGGAGCAGAGCACAGCATGGCACCAAGTCTACATTGTAAGAAAGTTCCCTTTTTAACCGAAAGAGGCGCAGATGGTTAGTGTTTGTCTGTTCACAGTGTGGAAGCATCATTCTGCACGCCAACGTCTGATTCTGGATTAAAGGGTTTAAAAACAGATCATTCAGTCTAATCTTTGTCTTTTTTTCTCCTTCAATAATGGCTGTATTTGTTGTGCTTCAGGCTGCTCGGTCACTGGGAGGAGGCGGCCAAGGACCTGGCTACAGCCTGCAAACTGGACTACGACGAAGACGCCAGCACGATGCTGAAGGAGGTCCAGCCCAAGGTGGCCAGCCGACACGAACCACAGACGGGTGGAGGCAGCCTGCCGACGCTCCTAACAGTAATGGTTGTGTGTTTAACTTTGTTTTCCTGCTCAGGCTAACAAAATCATCGAGCACAGGCGCAAGTACGAGCGCAAGAGGGAAGAGAAGGAGATCAAAGACAAACAAGAGCGTATAAAGAAGGCCAGAGAGGAGCACGCGCGGGCTCAGAGGGTGAGAGTTTGCTTCGACATCAGACTTTAGCAGCTGTGCTTCCTGTCTTTCAGAAGGCAAAAAAAAAGGGAAAAGTCAGTTGCTAGTTTATCTTTTTGTCCCCAACAGGAAGAGGAGTCACGGCAGTTTGGATCGGGCTTCTTCCCAGGTTAGATGATCTGTTACACGATTAGGCTGTACACACTGATGGTTTTAGTTACCAGCAGCAGCACAGCGCTGAAGTGTTCTGAACTTTGGCTGTCCCCCCCCCACAGGCCCTGCTGGATTCCCTGGTGGTGCCCCCCCCGGCATGCCCGGCCTGGGCGACCTCTTTAAGGATCCTGAGCTGCTTAACGCCATGAAGGTGACTTCCATCACTTTTCGCATCACGCCACTGTTTGTTGTTTGCCCAAATTTTAAGGGAACATCAGTTTATTTTGCTGTAAGGAAAGAAACCCTTAGTTTTTCATTTTCTTTTTTTTAAGAAGAGGAAATACATGTGAAATCCCTTTAAAGGAGGAATAGTTTTTGCTGCTTTTGTCTGCTGAATACTTAGTTTTTCACAGAGAAACGTGTTGTTGCATAATTCAGAAAATGTTAGCCGGCCTTCAGCACTTTTTTAAAATTACTACGTTTATTAGTCTAACTAAAATGGGACTTAATGTTTAATGCTTAAATCACTGCTTTGATCTTGGATCTCCCTATGTAGAAGCTCTGGGCTGGTGGAGGAGCTCTTAATTTAACAGCCAAGTTAAAGTCTTAACCATGCTCTTTCATAAGGCCAACCCTCATTAATGGTGGTTTATTGTCTCTTCCATATCTTTTTGTAGGACCCTGAGGTGATGGCTGCCTTCCAGGATGTGGCTCAGAACCCAGCCAACATCTCCAAGTACCAGCACAACCCCAAGATCATGGGCCTCGTCACCAAGCTGAGCTCAAAATTCGGGGCCCCCCCACAGCCATAGACGGGAAGTGACCAAAGCGGAGAGGAGACGTTGTGAAACTCTGGAGAGAGACGCTTTTCAACATTATTCACTGTGTGTTGTTCAGACGGGGGGTGTGGGTGTGACGGGAAGGATGCCGGGAAATTTCTTTCTTAAACGTTTCTTAAGCCTGTTGGCACTCAGCAGCATCTCGACGGTTAGGAGTCAGGTCAGATTCCAAGCGGACCTTCCTGAAGCATCTTAGCTGGGACTTTACATAACTACAGGTTTACTTTGAACCTGCCTCTGGAACAGCTGCACTGGATTAAAAAGCTAACATTTCTATAGCCCTTTAATATGTGGTTTAGGCCTCCGGTTCTCTGTCTGTGAACCCAGCTGAACCCTCACTCAAGAGTTTCAGCCCCTTTTTGTTATCCAGTCTGTTATCAATGCAAAGAGAAAAATAATTCTGATGTTTAACCTTCTTGGAAAAAAGATGATGGAAAATAAAACATGTTTGATCCTGCTTTATGTTGAATTTATTCCGTTGCACTATGACTGGAATGAGCATTTTACCTTTTCTTTATGAATCTGAATCTATTCTGTCCACACAGAGGACCAGTCTTCTGCCGTCAATTGCATGAAACCTTGAAAACGGCATAAACGATTTTTAGATTGTTTTTAAAGCATTGCCAAGTCTGCTTCTTCAATGAGCAGAATTATTAATCACATTGTTTGATATGCTGAGTATCAAAATTTTGGATCCATCCAGACTGACTTTATTTTCTATTAAATAGCGGCTTGTCTGAAATAGGATCCCTGAGCAGCAATCAAAGCTATTTTTTATACTTTAAATAACAGTTGGATATTTTCTCAGCATTACCTAAATAGTTTGGATTACATACCCAAGGAAGTTTCAAATCGATTTACTTGCTGTGCATCAAAGACATGAGTATTTAGATCCAATTCATTTCCATCGAATGGACCTTTTAAGTTCCAATAAAAAAAAAAGTTGACTACGGTCCTATTAGTGCATACGATGGTGTAACTAACTCTTGGGACTCCCTGCGGATGCTGCTGGATAAATCGGACTGAAGAGTTGGTCACCAGGTCGCATAATCCGAGCGGAGCATCTGTGGCTCAGCCCGAGGATTACAGCTCTGCAACACGCGGCCAGGACTTTCTCTCCGAGGACCGAGGCTTGTCTGAATGACCAAATTCCTTCTGTGGACATCCGGCTTTTTATCCAAAACATAGCTGGTAATCTAAATCATGACAGTACATTCTTAGTGGGAATGAAGGCAATGAAGAGCATTTGAAAGAAATCCACAGTAACATTTAATTTAATAATTCAAAATTCAGCAAACCTTCCCGACTACAGAACAAGCCAAACCGTGGGGTAACATTCAGGTTTTATTTAAGTACTTACAACATACCAAAATAAAGGTGTGTGGAAAACAATTACCAGTATTAGGAATTTAAAAAAAAAGAAGAAGCGTTGATGCAGATGTCAGTAGAAGCCGAGGAAAAGGTAGATATTCATACAGCTAGTGTCCGTATCTATGAAAACACAAGGAGAGGGTCAATAACTATCAGCACAACTGTACACATCCAGAAAACTAAGAATATCCTAAAAATGAACTGAAGAGGCTTTGTAAGTCTGAGTCAGGCCTCCAAATAGCGACACTATGGTTATACTTACTTCTGAAACTCCCACTCTCTGTTGTCCAGGGGACACACCTGTCTGGTTTTCAGCCAGCGAGAAATACAGTGGAAATGGAAAGCATGCTGTAGAAGAAAAACAAGCCTGATTAGACATTCAAACTGGCTGGTATTAAAGTGAAATGTGAGTGTTCAAAAATAAAATGTTGGGATTTTCCTCTCTGCATTTTCTCTCCATTATGCTTTTAAAACCACAAGGTGACCAACAATATAACAAATTCTCTCACCGATGTGACATTTTCCCATGCTAGTAATATATACTGATGCTTAAAATCCATTTCTGTTCAGTCAAATTTCGTATGTATCTGTACAATGCCCATGTTAACCTTCTGAACCCCCCCACTTAGAACAGTTTTGCTGTTCAATGACACTTTGTTTGAGGCACATTTGGAAACTCACATTGCAGACACCCCAGGCGACGGTGCACTCTTCAGAGGTTGCAGAGGCTTGGTTGGCCTGGCACTCTATGCCTGATGGAGGAAATATATCAACAAAGATGCCAACCGCTTACAGAGGCTGCCACAATCCAGCCATAATGTGTGTCAGAGGACTAAGTAGAACTCACAGAGATCCATGATGTGGTTCCTACAGATGGCACAGTTATCCACCACAATGTCCCAGGCCCAAAGCGCCACAGCATTCCACTGCAGGACAGAACACAGTCATATTCACGCTCAGGAGCTATATTTTTACATCGACTCACTTTTGCAAAAAGAGCAATGTAAAGCATCCTGTCTGGACATTAACGCAAAGCTCAAGGCAGGGCGGCTACTTTTCTGAATAACGGTTTAGAAACGTTACATATTTAAAATAAATAAATGTAAGCCTAAACTATATCACAAAATTAATCATTTTAAACAATACGCAAATACAACCGTAAATAATATACAGTATCATTCTAATTACTCTTTAACATGTAAAATATGTGTACGTCTCGCGACATCCCTACAAATACAGCTAAGCTAACTAAGCTAACTTAGCGCATTCATTTAACTATCAAACTTCGGGTCACGATACAGTTATTTGTCCGTTTTCGCTTATTACATTTAACTTTGGAATACCTGGCAGTAATGGTTTAAACCACATCACGTTCTGTATTTGTTTTTAGTCCCCTGAGTCTCCAAAACGGAAATGCACATTCATTCCTTATGAGAAACAGGCTTATAGCTACATGGCTAATTTTCTAACTGCCGCTGAGCTCCGGTAAGCTAGTACTAGCATCCCAATTGCTAAAGCTAGCCGGTTAACGAACAAACCGCTACCAACTGTGTTAGCAGCAATTTGGCATAACCTGTTACTTAAACCAGTTTATAATCTTTTCACAGAGTTGTCTTAGCAAGTCACACCTTTTTGACTTCAAAACGCTTTTTGCTTGCTCCGCTGTTGGTGCCGCTCGGCGTGTCAACATCCATCGCTGCGGCCATCTTGAACTTTCGGGAAGCTTTAATGTAATGACGACTCACCCGGAAGAAAATATTTGCACTTTCTAGAATGAATTTGTTTGTGGGACGTTTTTAGAACTACTCATTACAGATATTTTGTCTGATTGTTTATTTGTTTAGTATAAATGTTTCTGTCATGACGTGGAGAACATGCGAAAAATCCTCAAAACATAGGTTCCACCGAGATTTGAACTCGGATCGCTGGATTCAGAGTCCAGAGTGCTAACCATTACACCATGGAACCATTAGGAGGCCGCCTCACACGTTCAAACTTATCGAACGGTAAAGCGTAGGGACCGTTAAAAAAATAGCAACTTGGCAATAATTCAGACGTGAGCTAAATAAGAAAGGCTAATTTATTTGTAAAGCACAATTTGTGTACAAGATAAAAAAAAAGAGAAAAATGCCTTCAAAAGTGAGAATTTAAAAGCAGAAAATTAAGATAAAACAATACGAAATTATTGCTTAAACAGACCATCATTGAAGAGTGCAGATAAAATTCAGTTGTTATATGCACAGCTAAACAGAATTGTTTTCATCCTCTCTTTAAGCTTCAGACACTACACAAGCCTTTTATTTCGCAACATATACAGAATAGAAATGACCTACTCTGTTTATTTGGTGTATTTTATCAAGGTGTCCACTGTGCCTTGTTTTTATCTGGAGTACTTTGCATTGATATTTCTATAGCTTCCACAGTGTATATAAAAATTAATCATCATGAGAACTTTTATTTAAAAAAACATAATACTGGTTACTTTTATAACATGTTTACTTATCAGTTAAGTCTGTTTGTTCTTGGTCGTTTTTGCTTTCACAGGCTGCCCATGAGGCCGTTCTTTTGGGTGTTTTCTCTGTTTGGGATTTACTGGTCTAATTTGGACTTTGGACGATTTCAGAGCGCTGGGTTTGGATTTCTTCTTTTTTTGACGTCTTGGTTCTGGAAAGTTCCTTTCCTCTGGAGGCGTTTTGCTTTCTGGGCAGGCTTTGAAGACATGAATGTCCCTGACCTGCTGACCTCTGAGTTCTGCAGGCTGACCACAGGTTGCTGCCACTTCCAACCTCACATTCTCCATCCACCTGAGAAAAGGGACACAGAGAACAGCCATTAGAGGAACTGAAAGTTACGATCTGAGCCAGATGATAAAAGTGCTCCTTTGAAAAAAGTTCCGCATGCTGTGACGTCTTACTGGAAAAGGTGCACAGTTAACGTTTGTATTTGCAAAATCCGGCTTTCTGCTAAATGACCAGACCTGCGAAGAGGCAGCAGAGCACAGTCACACAGCAGGGGGTTGTCCCGCAGGTCCACCACCTCCAGGCCGGTGAGGGGGCTCAGATCAGGGAGCTCCTTCAGCTGGTTTCCTCTCACGGTCAGAGCTCTTAGCCCCGGGCCCAAGCCTACCAAAGCATCCTTGGACATCTGGAGAAAGTCACAATGCAATGTAGGCACAATCAAAGCGCTTCAGTTTAGTGAATCATTCTCATTGACTACTTCCATATCTACAAGAATTAAGCTTGAGGAGGTCAATTTTTTTCATATGCTGACCAATGAAAAGATTCAAATTGGGAAATAGAAAAAAATCACAGTAAAAAGAGAAACCCAGAGATTAGAGTGAAAAATAACACAGTGGAAAGAAGCTCCATTGTTCTGATGTCGTCTTAAAAAGGGTTTCACACCTTTTCTGTCCCCATCTGATCCATATAAAGCCTCTTAAGGCTTCGGGATATGGGCTGAAATGCTTTTGGTCCGACCAGTCGTATCGAGTTTCGGGACAGGTTGAGCTCCTCCAGATGTGGGGCGTCAGACAGGGCGTGTGTGGGAACCTCGGTCAGCTGATTTGAGTCCAGGTGAAGAACTTCGATGAAGGTCGAGTTCAGAGCGCCCCGGGCCACGCTCGCCATGGTGTTATTGCTCAAGTACAGCTCCCTGAGCGTAGGGCTTACGGTGGACAGCAAACCCGCCGGCTCCAGCCTCGAGATGGCATTTCGCTCCAGATGCAACACAAACAAATTTGGTAAGAGCGACAGAGCTGAAGGAGAAACAAACACACAGAAAACACATGTTTTATATGATACGTAAAGTGTGTATTCCTGGAGCTTTATAAACGGGGCATCTCGGCTATCCATATCCGGCCACTGACCTGATCCAGGGAACTTTGCAAACCGGTTCCCCTCCAGGTGGAGGTAGGTGAGGTTTGGGACACCGGCAAAGGCTCTGGGGTCTAAGGAGGTTAGGTCGTTGTCAGACAGATACAAATAAAGCAGGTTTTTCATTCCCTGGAAGGCGCCGCTTTCGATTTCATGGATTTTGCAAAACTCCAGGTGGAGAGAAACCACGTGGCTAGTGCCGGGGAAGCTGCTTGCAGGGAGGAAGTGGAAATGGTTGTCCCGGAGGTCAAGCAGCTGCGTCTTGCTGGGAAAGCCTCGCGGGACTTTGGTATGGCCCCGACCCTCACATGTGGCGTGATGCGCTTCAGCCTGTGGGTCCAATCAGGAGAACATATTTGGTGTACATCATTATAGAAATTTTAGAACTGCCCTCCGTTTTTATTGGGATATGGTGCCAAGGCCCAACTTGGAAATTCCAGCAATTAATTTTTTCTATACTTCAGAAACACCAGTTTGTAACTAGCAAAATATTTGAATTTTCATCCAAGCTGGATTTTTTTTCTTCATGGTCTCGTTTTGCACAAAAGCATGAATCAAACATGAATATATCTGAAGTTAGTGTTTAAAGAGCCATGGTTACTGTAAGTCTAGGTCCTCCAGTGCCCCTAACTTCCCCCCTGAGGCTGAAAACTATTTGGACATTTCTCAGATCTCTAACTTGATATGTTTTAGACATTATTAACCAGTTGATCCATTTGCAATACATCTAATTATATTTCAATGTCAATTTATCCCACTCATTTCAGAATTGTTTTTGGTCTGTAGCTCTTAAGGAATTAGAAAAGAAAAAGAAAAAAAGCAGCGCTCTAACTGTGTCTTTTGGCACTTAATTGCCCAACTTTATGGTTGTGGAATACTTTCAGAAACTAATATCAATGAAAAAAAAATGAGTATGATTGTGGGAAACAATGCGAGAATGGGAAACGAAAGCAAAGATGAGAGGAGCTCCACAGCGTCAACTATTTTTTTCCCATTTCTGTTTTTCTGGAATGCAGAAAATACCAGACATGTACAGCAGCTCAACACTCACATCACATTGGCAGTTGTTGGGGCATCTGGCCGTCGGCTTTGGCCTGGCTGTGGCCGGGACAGCTCCCCTGCTCTCCTGCTCCTCCCCCCCCTCCCCCTCCTCCGTCAGAGCCTCGGCCCGGCTGCGGCAGCGGAGATTCGGGGGGGTCACCGCCTGCAGCGGCTCGTCTGAGAGGTGAGGTGGTCCAGCACACGCCCCCAGCAGCTTCACGCCTCCAGCCGCTGCCCACCTCTTCAGGGGCCGCAGGAAGCAGTTACAGTAAATGGGGTTCCCTTCAAGAGAAATTAATCGCATTCTAAATGGATGAACACTCTTAACCACCTTTAATTTGATCAGTTTGTGCTGGAAAGCTTTAACCTTTCCTAGCAGCACACGTCAAAGTTTGTGTGAGGTTCATGTAGAAAACCAGAAGGAGTTTTACCAGTCAGGTTTAGGACGGTTATTTTTTTGGGTCCCGAGAGGGGCTCCAGGTAGCGAAGCTGGTTATGGCTGAGGTCCACGCGGGAGAGGAGGCCGGCCCGGGAGAAGGCCTGGTCCGACAGGTCCTGAAGGGACATGTGGTCAAGGTAGAGGTGCGTCAGCTTTGCCATGGTGACCGATTCTTCCCCGAGGTAGGTCATGGGGTTGTAGCTCATGTCCAGACGCGTGACTTCTGGGAGTCTTTGAAGGCAGGAAAAGTCAAAATGACAATATAAATATAATGTCTCAAAGTCAAAGCCTGCCAGAAAGTCTTTGTAGAATGTGACAACGATCCCAAACACAGAAGCGAATCTATAAAAGAATGTCTGAAAATAAAAAGGAATAAAGGTGTTACATTTTGAGTAAAAAGAAAAATACCTTGGGGCTAATGGGAAACATGTTTATTACTAGTCTATGTGTCACCAATGAATATTAAAGAGATGTCTGGGGACTTGTTAAGAACTTATCGAAAAGTTTGGAGGTGATTTACATTCCTGGAATGCCGCGAGCTCTCCATTAGAATATTTTTGTCTGGCCCACCTCGTCATGGTCTGCGTGGGGAAGAACTGCAGCTCATTGTGATCCAGGCTCAGGCGGTTGAGGGTGAACAGCCCGGTGAAGGCCTCGGGCGCCAGGTTGTTCAGGGAGTTGTGACTAAGACGCAGCCACTTGATGTTTTGCAAGCCCTGAAAGACGAGGCAGAAGATTGCAAAAAAACAACAACAAACCCCTAACAGCCTGTGTGTGCTGCAGCTACTCATGCCTTAGTCATCGTCTTACGCACCTGGAAGGCCATGTTGGGGATGTAAACTAGCTGGTTGTGGGTGAGGCCCAGCAGGTTGAGGACCCCGAGCTGTGTGAAGGCTCCAGGCTGGATCTCTTCGATGCGATTATAATCCAGATGCAGCTCCTTCAAGGATGAGAGGCCGTCGAATGCTTCCTACAACGGCAAAGCTGTCAAAACCTGGCTTATTTTCGTTGATGGACGAGAGCAGAAGGAGCCAGGCTTATCATTCCTCTCTGGGTTTTTACCTGGTAAAGGACGTCAATCTTATTGTGGGCCAGGTTGAGGGAGAGCAGGCGGCCGAGGGTGCGGAAGGCGCCCTCCTTTGCTGTGGTTATGCCGCAGCGCTGCAGGTTGAGGTGGGTGAGGTAGGGTGTGTGTGCAAACGCCCCCCTGGAGAGCACCCGCAGGTTGTTGTTCCTCAGGTCAAGCCTGAGCGTAATCTGGAGGAGTGAACAAACACATCGGTCCGATGGCAGCAGGAAAAAAGCAACACGCATTTGTGTGTTGGGAATTTATGAAGAAATGAATGAATGCGTTGAAGCGGAAAAATGCTTCAGTGGGTACAAATTCGAAAAGGGGTAATATTGCCTTTGAAAAAAGAAAAGAAAAAGCACAACACAGGTTGAATTCCTCACCTCGTCCATCGTTAGGGGAATAGTCGTCAGGTTCTTGCCAACACAGCCTACTGTGAGGCTGGCCTTGTCACAGCTACACATTTTGGGACATTTCTTTGCTATAACCGGTGGGCAACATGTCAAGCTGAGCAGAAAGAGGGCAGCATAGATGATCTGCATCTGGGAGGGTAACGTAAGAAACAGTCACCGACTCAGCTTTCCTTGAGGATGAAAATATGAAGATCAAATTTTGCATTCCCTACTGGTCACTAATGCTTTCAAGTTAGATCCAAAACATCTGAAAGAGGGTGCAAATGAACACTGAAAGTTTAGGAAAAGCTCACCTCAGAGCAATGTGGCGCTCTATCCCGTCTTCCTTGGCAAAATGGGCTTCAAATAGAAGTTCCTACGTCTGAATCTGCCAGTCCAGGTTCCAGTGACCTGCAGAAGGCTTCTCTTCACTCTGAGTGTTGTCCACAACTGACACAGTGAGGTCTAGCAGGCTAGCAAACAGGGCTTTGGTAAATTCTTGTGGTGACCCCTGATCCCTCTTCCTGTCTGCAAATTAACACATTGGCTTTAAATTTTCAGAAATCTTTGTGTAAAGTCCAGGCTTTTCCAAGCCTGTAACAATACAATGTAGCTCTGTGTCTCCAGCAATTAAAACACACTGAGGATAGTTCCAGCTGCTGATTTAATATGCTCCGTTCTAAATTGACAGCTCAATGATTTTTAGATTTTGACATATAATCTTTTTTAAAGTTTTATAATGAGAGTTCAGATATATTACAAATTAAATCCATACAACACAAATGGCAAAAAAAACAGCCTGTACCATAAAAAGGTGGAAAATACATCTGTTTATTCAATCCCTTATTATTTATTTCAATTTCAATTTCCAAAGCACATTTTGGCCTATAGAAATTTTAATTACATCATCATTTGGCCATTACTTGTAAATTCAACACATTCAATATAAAACAAGTGAATAGTAAAGGTAGATATGGAACGGAGCGCACACAAAAGCTGATCCTTCTCAGTTAAGATCACTCCCAGTCAGAGCTTTTCTATTTTGCGCCAACGTGTCATCTGTGATTCAGTCGACGAGGGGTCACTAACCAGGAGAGTTGAGGTTATGTGGAGGGCAAAGCTTCAACCTGTCAGTGCTGTCCTGTGGGTTTTTATACAAGTGTACATGTGGGGGCCATTCAAGTCAAGTCCAAACAGAGGTTTAAAAACTCATTTCAAATTTCGGGTCCATGTGCTTTCCACAGGTCCGTCAGTGATCATAGTTCAGTCTGTGTGCGAGCAGACGCCTCAGCTCTGGGACTGGACTCTCTGCAGTGTGGACTGGAGGCTGTTTTTGGCATTTCCACAAGACTCCAGCACCTTGGTGTTCCTGTGGAAGACAAGGTTTTTTGGCCACCAACGCATCTCAACCAATCAACAGAGAGCAGATCCTATTAAGATGAATGGACTGAATGCTCTGTGAGCCGGTGACCCAGACCACTGAGGATTGGATGTAATCCTCACTCAACATTCATTCACAACACATATAAAAGTAACATTAGAACAAAAACAAACTCAATTTACAGCTAAGCTGTGCTAGTTCAAATACAGACAGAAGCAGGGGCTCTTTACTAGGGCATAGCTTTAATTAACTATTGTTGTGTTAATTGTTTGTTACACTAATAAACAAGCTGCTCTTTTTCTGCATTTCTGACAAACTAGCTGTTCTATGTGTTTGCTGCCGTCATAAGTGTAGGAAGCATCTATTTCAACTGTTTTAATACATAAAATCAGAGGTTCAATACATCAAATCTACTTTATTTCAGGTCATATACCATGGACATTAAAAGGAGGCATCGCCACAGGTGTGTCGACTTCCACCGAAGATAGAAAAAGTAATCGCTGCATTCTGTACCTGGAAGCTGTCGTCTGATTGGTTCATTCATCACGCCCTTACCGGGACATAAAAGCCTCGAGCACGGCCACGTTCTCTTTGGGGAAGTAGTCCTGGCGAACAATGTGCTCCAACGCGTGGAGGTGGCCAGGGACCACAAGCACGGGTTTGACCTTATCCTCACTCTGAGGGGCCGCAGGGGAAAAGACACGGGGAGTTTTACATGAGGACCCAGGTGGACAACACTGGAGAATGAAATGAAGGGGTTGACGCGATTACCTTGATAAGTCCGAGCAGGACCAACAAAGACGATACGAAATTGTAGCCTTGGAAGGAAGGACTGGTGAAGGCTTTGTTGAGAAGAGCATCTGTGCGTAAAAAAGAAAAGTAACTCAGATTCATATACACTCTTGAAGTATACTTAACTACTCAGGAATCCAGTAGAAGCATCTTACCAATAGTGTCCAACACTGCATTCTTAACATCATTGTTATCCTCCTTATACACTGATGCAATCTTAAGGAAAGCCTCTGCTGTTTTTGCAGCATCCGTCACGTCCACCTTCACACACAGAGGAAAAATTAAAAAACAAGCTGCTTCACATGTGACAGGGACATTTGTAATGAACCCATCCCGCGTTTTCTGTTACATAAACACACGTGTAGTTACTAAACAGGTCCTGCATGCGCTGTAGGACTATGAAATCTGACCCTATGCGCTCGTAGTGGTTCTTTGAGTTACCTGCTCCTGGACCAGCAACGTTCTCTTGGCACCCAGCTTGAGCAGTTTGTCTGGGGAAGGAAAGCTGAGGAAGGAGGAGACGTCCGGTGGTCGGGGGGCTGACGTAGGAGTGGACACCTTGTTGCTACTGCTCTCATCTTCTTCCTCCTCCTCTTCCTCCTCTTCTTCTTCTACTTCCTCCCCATCCACGTCGTCTTCATCCTCTTCGTCGTCGTCATCATCGTCGTCTTCGTCCTCTTCATCATCATCCAGCTCACCGTCATCATCACTGAAAGAAAACGCACAAAATTTGACTTTGAAAATACAGGTGATGATGTAAGTCTGACCAAAATCACACTAAACTGATCTTATGAAAACCAGACTGACATCCATATAATGTTACGAGGTACAAACAAAACTAAAATGGACATCAGTGTTCCAACAATCTTCAAAGTTACATCTTTTTCATTTTTTTTTTACTCATAAGTCTGTTTCCTAAAGTTTTATTAACTGATTTGTCTATTTTCCCCCAAGTAAGATGATAAATTACTTGATGAACTTAAAGCTGTGGAAGAGTTGAGAATCAAATAAATAAAACTTATTATAGGCAACTGTTTGCACTTGGATTAAAACTCTATAATCAACATCGTATTGGGGGGGGGGGGGGGGCACAGTGAAAAAAACCAAAGGATGCGATTACCTTAATGTTCCGAGAAGGTCAGCCATGTTCATGCTTTCCATGGCGTCTTTCAGAGCTTTGCAGCCACTCTCTCCCAGGCAGTTACCTGAAAACGAACAAAAAGAGAGTAGAATTTTTAAGCTAGAGAGAAGACTTCTGTGACTTGTAAACACGACAAAAGCAGAGCTGAGACTGCCCACATGTTTACCATTAAGGTCCAGCTTCTCCAGCTGGTCTTTGTTCTTTACAGCCTCGGCCACGGCCAGAGCAACTTCCTCAGTAATCTCACCATATGACAGATTGAGTTCCTGTTAAACAACACAAAAAAAATAAACAACATGGTTTAACTGTACTGCACTCAATGACAGGGTTACAAAAATAAAAAAAACTAAACAAAACAACTTTTAAAAAAACAATTGTGTCTCTAATATCACATAAAACAAGACTTGACCTCACCTTAAGGATGGGCAGCCCCTCTGACACACTTTCTGCTATGGCTTTAGCCCCCGCTGGTCGTACCAGACAGTCTCCGAAGTTGATCACCTGGATGCTGCGCAGGTGTTTCAGTGCCTGGGAAGGCAAAAAATAAAATAAAATAAACTGTACGCCACTGTAAAACACGAACAAAGCTTTGAAAGCTCCTGTCAGGCCCAAATGTGTGGGAGGACATGCTTCTGATTAGGCCGGGTTTCCTTTGAAATTCTTTTGTTTTTATTTTCTAAGAACCTGGTCAGGACTACCAGACTTTGTAGCATATCTGTGATACCAAAGTGCACATCAAACAAAATTCATCATCTAAAAATTCAGGAAAGATGCCAGCACAACCCTGAGGTCTACGTTTTTGTACCTGCGCCATGGCGATAGCCCCCTTCTCGGTAAAAGTGTTGTCATTGAGGTTGAGAATTCGGAGTCCTGGGTTGTGCTGCATGGCTACGGCCAGCGCGGTCACACCTGGATGATTGATGCCATTCTGGGGCATGTGAACCTCCTCAAGGCTGCCCATCAGCTGGGAACATAAGCCACAATAAGGTGATAGGCCCACTTACCCAGGGAAAAGAAGAGCAGGACCAACCATGGCTGACAGTGATCAGTAACATGTCAATTGGGGCAAGAAAGGTTAGACTAATCTGTACCTGGAAGGCATGAGCGAGGGCAGTTGCTCCATCATTTTCCAGACGGTTCCGCCCAGCGACAAACACCTTCAGACTGAGGGGGGTGCCCTCTGCACTGGACTTTTTATGACACTGGGTCAAAGAAGCAGCTAGGATCTGAGGAGAGAAAAAATGCACGAATGCACATTTGTTTGACCACGACTCTTTATCCTCTTCATAGTGCTGCTCCTGATTGCAATGCCTCATTCTCTGACTCACCTTGCCCCCTCCGATGCCCATGCCGCAGTTGTTGAGCCGCAGCTCCTGCAAGGTGAAGCAGGACTTGCTTTTCAGCAGCCGCTCGATGCCCTTCACCCCATCCGGTCCGAAAGCGTTGTCGCTGAGGTCTAACACCGTCAGCCTGGCACCTGCCAGCATCAGAGCATCACCCAGAGAATTCTAACACACACATGGACAGCACAAACCGAAAAAGGTCAGTGCCAGGAAAGGGGAGCAGTGACGTGTCAAGAACAAGCAGAGCAGATGTTTGGCTGTTTTCAAGAGAGAGGCCAGATCAAGTTGAGAAATATCCACAACTCCACATGTTCTAACTGAAAGCTAAAAAATGGCATAACATGTATGACAGTGCAGGGGAATGACATGCATTACCAAGGCAGGTGGGATCTCTGAGCGTAGGCGACCAGTAAACATGTCACTCCAATAGCAGCACTGCAAGAGAGAAACATAAAAAGAGCAATGTCACAATAAATCCCCCCCAAAAATCTCTTGATTACATTCTTTCATTGAAAAAAGAAGAAAAGGACATAATACTACCATATTGTTTACCATAATAAGATCACCAATACAGGATAATGTGTAATACTCTAGTACAAAGTCCAGTTGAAAAATCAAGAGTTGTATTAAAACTTTGTATTAATGGGGTAGGTGTTTGACACGAATTAAATCAATAATGTAGCTTTTTCCCCCCTTGACCGTGAATATTTATTGTGAAAAACATTACCTTTTCTGAGTGAAATGCTATCAATCTGATTGTAGTTACTGCTAAAGTTTAAAACTGAGACAGAAGAAAAAAGTTTTAACCTTTAATTCACTCTTATTCTCGAGAGCCTTGGCGATGGCTTGTGCTGCATCCACACCGATGGTGTTTCCCTCCAGCCTGAGAGCCTGTAAACCACTGAAGTCCTGGATCTCTTTCACCATCTCCTCCACTGTGAAAGCAGCAGAGGGTGAGTAGTTTCATGCTAACAATTAAAAAATAACTTCAAAATGTTATTGATACGTGTGTGAAACTGCAAGCTCACCTGAGCTGGCATCATCCAGCTTTCTTCCCTGGCCTTTGTAACTCAACTCTCCCTCCTGTACACCGGTCTTGGCCAGAATGTCTGCCAGCAGTACAACGCTGTCTGTCGCCATTGGTATATCTGAGGATCAATAACATGAATCAGCTTGAATTCAACTTCAGAGCATTCCCTGATGTCTGCACCTGCTTTGTCCTCCAACACAATTGGGTTTCTGGGCACACACTGTATCCTCATTAAGGGAAAGGCCACCTCCTCAAATATACATCAACTGTTAACTACACAGCAGCTCAGAGGTCACTTTAAACATGGGATTACTCTAAAATGGAAGATTTGCTAGGTTAGGAAAACAATCACAAACCTCCTAAATGGCAACATTAAGAATAACTTCGATGTAATATTTTAAATGGTACGATCATTTGAGACCTCAAACAGCCGAGGTCTAACTGGAGGTGGCTTCAATCTGCATGAAATGAATAAAGCTGTTTTGAAGAACAACGTCCATTAAAAACAACTACCGGCTAGCGTTAGCTGACCGCAGCTAACTGTGCTATCGCACTAATGGGCACCATGACAACTGTTGACTCAGCAACGCCCTACAAACCCATGAATATAAAATAATCTGAAACACGTGTTTAGGGGTTAATATTACTGAGGTTTAACTGGCTAATTGGCTAGGAATTTACAAAGACAAAAGATATAAAAACCTATGTTAGCTCGCTAGCACGGTTGCGTTACATGTGAAAACAGCATGGTTGTTAGTCGGCCTCTATACAGAGTTGTTAACGGCCACTGCTGTCAGTCCTCGGTTTAAATTAGCTTTCGTAGACACACCAACGCACAAATGACTCAAACATTTATCCCCGTGGCAAAAGTAAACATTGTCATTACCACAACAGTCCTGCTCAGATTAAATCCAGTTCTGTAACACACTCCCGCTCACGTCGGCTGTTCAAAACCAAATCTAACAGAACACTCACCGGCTTGACTACTGCTCACCAAATAGACAAGGGATTTGTAGTCCAATTAGACTACAACGCTAAGTTAACTGACTTTACCACGGCGTCACTTCAGTAAATCAAACCCAATATCTGCAAATCCGTTTTACGGCGAAATACAACAACTAAATGTGTTTTCAATGTGGGAGTTTCTTTATTTTAAATTCAAAGTACTATTTTGTGGTCATTCTGATGCCTTAGATGTGGCTGCTGATCCCCGAAGTTAACAAAGCCATGGTCAATTTAAGATTTGTCAAAGAGTAGATCCCTGATGTTTTTTAACCAGAGTATACAAATAAAAATGGTTTAAATTTTTGTCTAAAGATTTCATTTAGTTTTTAAAGTTTATTCAACAAAGCATGCAAGACAACCAAAGGAATAAGATAAGATTTTTTACAAGCATTTAAAAAATAATTTGATTTTAAATAACTAATGTCGGCCTATTCCAGAGTCTATTGATTGGGTAGTTTTGTGATATAAACTCTTGTAAACTAAGATTGCCAGTCTCATTCAAATTGGGACTTGAATTTAGAGCTTCCTTCTCAAACAGAACAATAAAAGGAGAGAAACAGCTTTTAAAGCTCACTGCAATAAGCACTCTTACTGTTACTATCCTTTTCTCTGACCTTTCTTCCATGTTGTCTTATTATAAAGTTGATATATAAGCTCAGAGACAGCACTCTGTAGACTCTAAACTGAAACTCTGAGCCATTGCATGTCTTATAACACTATTAAAAAACAAACAATAAAAAACACTTGACATGTTAAAAGGCTGAATAACAATAGAAATACTTTTATTTTTTGGAAAGCTTTTAAGCATCTAAACCATTCATCAAAATCTTTAAGAAGTAAAAATATAGCATTTTTTAAAATGTAAAAATCTTTTGAGTAAAGAAAAAAAGGAAAAACAAAACACAAGCATGACAAATTCAACGGCAGCTTTAAAGTGCTTAAATGGCCAACAATAACAGAATAATAAAAAATGTTCAGAACATCACCAGCCAAATTGTGCATCACCACTTTGAGCTATAACAGGCGGTACAGTGTTGACCTAAGATATTTAAATCTCCAACAAATTTCTCACAAGACCTGAATTACTGCCTCCCCACCTCCCAGCCCTCTGCTCAGTTGCCACTGCAAATATGGCGCCGTCGTCGACGCGCGAAGAAGCGACCATAGCAGCGTCTCCTCACGTGACCGAACTCTGCGACGGCGATTGGCTGCGGGAATTTTGACGTTCGCCCCTTGCTCTGTCACGTGGTTGTATTGAGTATCCTGTGAGGAGAGGAGATGAAGCGTGCTGCTGGCTTTGCGGCGAATCGAAACTTAACGTGGTAACGTAGATATCTCCAGCCTCAGAGCTCTACGGGCTTCTTTCTGTCTTTCTTACCGTTCTTCCACGTATTATTCCTTCATTCCTCTGCCTTGCCATGACTCGCTTTTAAACTTCGTGTCGGGCCAATGAACTTCCTCACTTCTTCAGGTAGGTGTGTCTCGGCGAAGTTGGCCCCGTCGCTCGACCATAGCTTCCACAACATTAACGATGGATTAAAAAAAAGAAAGAAAAACAGATAACCAAAAGGTTATCTATTATTAATATGATAAATGCTGAGAAATGTTTTTGAAGCGTCTCCAATAGGTTGGGTTGCCTCTCGCTCCTGTCTTTCGAAGGAACTGTGTTGTGATTAGCTTGCTATGAACAGTATTTGTTCATAAATATCCTCTTGTCTGCATATCTTCCCAGGGAGCAACCATGTCCTCTGTTCGAGAGAAGCGCAAAGAAGAGATAAGGAAGGCGGTGGCGTTTATCGAGTAAGAGTGTTTTGTTTTTCCCGGGACAGAAAGTGGAACACGTTCTGGGTTTATTCACATGCTTTCCAGCACTACGCCAGTGCTCCTCATCTTGTTTCTGTCTTGGGTTGTAGGTCTCCTCTGGCTTTTCCAGATCCTGAAGGCTACCAGGTGGGGCAGTTCTCTGCTAGTGTTCTACCCGCTCTCACAGGTTCTGGTTTCATGATGATTTGTCCCCGTTACCCTTCTCAATGCCATGTCCTGAACTCTCCTCCAGTTTGTAATGAAATGCTTCCCTTTAATCCTTTGACTGTGATCATGTCTCTGGATATCCTTTTTGCTTCCATAAAACTCTCATCCTCTTACAGAAAAATCAAAAGAGGAGATGGTCCAAAATATACAATTAGTCCCCAGCAGAGACTACACATTTTTGCTAAGCCTTTGTCTTTTAACAAATAGTTAACTCTAATCTCAGCAAAGGATCAAACAGAGGACCCCATGTTGTGTCTGTAAGTGTCTGACAACCAGAATCAGCCAGTGAGATCAAATAAGTTTTACGACATACAGCTTTACTGGGGAGGGTTAACCCCTTCCATTAGCTCGGGGTTGTAAATCAAATCTGTCTATTTGAGCAAATGCAGACACTTTTACTTCAGCATGCACCCACTTTGTCACTGTGTAAACATGCACAGGGAGAATCTGCCATGTTGGTAGAAAGTCTGCACAAATGTCTAAGTGACATGATTGACTTATTTCGCATAGCAGATTCATGACTCTAACCCAACTTCGAAATCATGGTTAAGAACAAAAAAAACGCTTTCAGGACTGATGGCATTGATGGCCAAGAGATCCCTGACAGGGCACAAAAGGAGCATCTGGGAGAGGGAGATCCTTTAGCATAGCTGTCACATCTGGGTGAAAGCAGATGATAGAGATAGCTGTAGAAAGAGGCCCTGCTCTCTGAGGGATCTTTTGTAAATCAGGGAGGTTTAAATCATGAGACTAGTGGCTCGTCTTGCTGTCAGTGAACAGTTTAAACCCCCCAAAAAATGCTTATGATGGTTTAAGTATGCAGGAGAGTTCATGGGTGGTTTGAATTCACCGTCATGGTGATTAAGCCTCACTGTAACTAAAGGTTAAAAAAAACCCCACAGCAGTTAGGTGTTCCGACTTCTCCAGAACACAACAGAGCTCTCACTTTCTTTTGGGACACACCCCCTTGCTTTTTTTTTTAACCTTTTCTTTCTTCCCCCTCTTGACAGGACTATCTGACCCAGTTAGTGTGCAACCTGCTGGAGGAGGGGAACGCCTGCTTCAGAGACGGGCAGTGGGAGCATGCCATCAGAGAGTTCAGCGAGGGCTTAAATGTCTCCAGCTATGCCAAAGGGGAGGACATCTCGATCCCTCCCGCTTTGCTGGAGAGCCTGTATGTCAACCGGGCTGCGGCCTACCAAAGCATGGTGAGCGGGCACTGTGCTGGTCAAAGAGGCAGTTGTGACCACGTCTCTGTATCCAAACAGTATGAGTCAGTGAGAGGCGGAGCCAAAAAGTAGATCAACTTGTAATTTAGGTCATACTGAATTGGCCTTCCACCTGCTTACACACACCGTTTCATTTAATTTCAGTGACATTTTGCAAATGCGTTGTATTTAAAAATTTTAATTTAATTTACTATTTTATAAGTGAGGCTTTTTGTGTTTGTTTACGTTCCCTTGTGGTCATTTTCTATAGCACGGTCCACAGTTTCTGATGAAATTAATGAATAAACATGAGAATTTTTTTCAAATATATTTACTTAGTCATCTCTGATCAAGACTTCCTCTCATTTGGCTGAACTTCAAACCTTCCATTTGTGTTATAATTCTTAGAAAAGTGCTTTCAAACATTCCTTTCACAAATTATAACAATTATTTAAAGTATTTTTATGAACTTGTAGCATGTAACTCAAATCTCTTTGGTAGATAATCGGTCCCTTTTATTGAGATTGGGCCATGAACCTAACTTAGTTTAAAATATACGACTCCTAAAGGCTAATGAGACGGTGGTTTATGAGATGAGCTTTGCCACGGGTCATCTCTTTTTCCCAACAGATGTTAATAAAACTGCTGATTGTATTGTAGACTTGTTAGCGCAACATTTTAAGAGGCCCTTGAGTTGCTGAATTTTGAGGCTGCTGCTAAAACAAAGCTGTTTAGTTTCATAGGCGTTCCAAGGCTGCTGAGGCCCAGTCTGCATACCAAATAAACACTCCTCAGTAGCTGTGCCAAGTTTGAGTATTGGTTGTCACCTCTGGGTGCTGTATAAAGGACACCTTGCATCTAGTTTTGAATTTAAAGGCGCGACCTGTGGAATGGCTTTACCTGTGCTTTATCTGTGTGTCGCGTTGCCTCCATGCATTTTTCTTTTTTTTTTCTTTTTTTATCTGAAGGTGCTTTTATTGCTTTGGTTTTGCGCAGGGGAAGTATGACCAGGGCGTCGAGGACTGCAACAGTGCTCTGGTGGTGTGCCTGGAAAGCCGCAGAGCGCTGTACAGGAAGGCGCTGTGTCTGAAGGAGCTCGGGAAGTACAGGGACGCCTACAACTGCACCAGCAGCTGCTTGCTCTCCAACCCCCAGGTGAGTTTTAACAGATAGAGGCTTTCTTTATTTGAGCAGGCGAAAACCCTTTTGGGGGCCACTTTGTTGCTTTGATGCTTTTACCGTCACAGTGCGTTCATTAGGTGGGCTTTTTTAACAGGACAAACAGGTGAATGAGCTCGCACAGGAGCTGGCCGTCCACCTGGGACTAAAAATCCGAAAACCCTACGTCAGCTCGAAGGTGAGTAAAATAATTGTTTTTATCTAGAGCAAAAGAACTGAATGATATCTCATGTTTTTTTATGGTCAAACGGATGGATGATTATCCCAGTGTAAGCTATTTTAGATTTTATATGTGTATATTTACGTGAAGTCTGACCATTTAAAATAATTCACACATAGTTAAAGAAGGGTTGTCTTGATATTGAAATGATAAAAGCATAATTAGTCTAAGATTTGCAGATGGTTATTAGTTGCCTTTTACAAATCCTTTAGATATATGTATACCAGCAGAAATGACCTGTATCATTGGATGTTACAGAGGACCTGAGGAAGCCTCTGCCTGAACACACTCAATGAAGAGGGCGTGTCCTCCTTTCTGATGTAATTGCTGTTTTAGCTTAGTTTTAAGTGTTTCTTCTCTCTCCTTTCCAGGCCTGTGGCAGTAGTTTACAAAATGGAGTGAAACCCCAGTGCGATGTTGCACCAGGTGAGAATTCTTTATGTTATCGGTAAACTTGTTCAGGGGGAGTTACTAATAAAATCGGATCCAAATATTTCCTCCCGCTCCTCTGCAGAAAGCCTCGCAAGCGTGCCTACGCTCCCCATTTCCTCCGTTCTAACCGTCCCCGGCTCCGCTCCGCCCGGCAGGAGGGAAGCTGTGGAGGACTCTGAGCTCATTGGAGAGGATTTAGACAGCCTGCTTGACTGTATTCCGGCGGAGGAAGGCCCAGCCCAGGTAAAAAGTGCTGCAACGGTGAAAACAACCCTAGTTGAAATGGGGCTGCTTGCCTCAGATGTTTAGGAAGTCGTGTGATCGTTTCATAACAATGTGCACATGTTGGAATGTCTGATAAGTAAATCCCAGGTACTTGAGTTCTTTTTTTCTTCTACCATCCCCAGGTGGGCTTCTCAATTCCCAGCAGGATGACCACTTCCCCTCACGCCGCTTCCCCTGCCCTCCCCGCCCCAACACCGCAGCTCCCCCCTGCCTTTTTCAGCTCTGCCATCAACTCTTTTCCCAGCAGCAGCTCTGCTGCAAAATTGGATCTCCTGGATGACCTCTCCCCCTTTGGAAGTGGAGGCGGTGCAGAAGCTCCGAACATCGTGCAGACCTCCACGGCGCTGAGTGCCCTGGATGGTCTGGATTCCCTCGATACACTTGACGCCTTTGTGGACGTGAAGCCACGCGCTGCTGCTGAGCCCAAAAAGGAGCCTGACATGGGAGACAAGTCTCTAGACAAACTGCTTGATGAAGCAGACACCCTTGGGCTTGTTTCTGATCCAAGTGGTTCGAACGGCGTGGTCCCTAAAATTAGCGCTAAAGCCACAGAGAAGCTCGACTGCCTTGATGCCTTGGACTCATTTCCCACAGTGGGAGGTGTTACCGCTGCTTTGCCAGCAGTCTCGATTGGGGGAAAAGGCTTGGACACGCTCTCTGATTTCCACTCAAATGGTGACTACCCCTCACTAACGACTATTTTTGTTGTCCTTAAAGAAGCAGGATATTTTTCAGATGCATGGGCAGTGTCATGAATAAAGCAGATATTCCCAAATTCAGTTGAAGTACCTTTACAGATTAAGAATCAAACATCAAAGCTGCACTTTGTTCGACATATTGGCAATTTGATCTTCAAATGTGAAATAAACCAAATCTGAAACACAGGCCTTTATACAAAACTGGAGGGTTTGTTGCTTTCTACCAAACCCAGCCTACTTTCACCACTTTATGCAATTTCTCCATGAAAATAAATAGAGTATAGTTTAATTTACCTTAGTTCAATCCCATCAGAGTATTCATCAAACTAAAGCTGAGCCTCTCTACAAAATTTGACAAATACATGTCATCATCGCCCTGTTTCTTCAATCCGGTTGTATTCTTTTGCTGCTTCTCAGGTTTCTCAGACCCGCATGCTGCTGCGCCCGTAATACAATCTCCAAAAAATCGCTACAAAGTAAGACCCACGGCATGGTCTGTGTTTGGTTTCTCTCTCACCGTGTGTTTTCCTAACTTCGATGGCAATTTCACTTCTGCTTGTCTTGCAGGAGAAGGAATGTCCCGGGCCTGCTGTGCTCCCTAACCCGCTGTCGTCAACCCACGAGTTCCTGCCGGCCTGCTCCACTTGTTTTCCTCAGGAGGGTGCGTCTGGAGTTCAGTCAGCTCCTCCATCAATAGTACTTAGGGTTGATAATGGACCCCTTGACTTACAGTAGTGTGTTATGTCTACTGCCTTTTGCCGAGTCATGGCACTTTTAAAGGTTTCTCAAGATATGCTGTTTTGTAGGCCAGGGGATCTACTCTTTTGTTCACAAGCCGGACCTGGCGCACAGCTGCAAGCAAGACATTCTGTTGTGCAGACGGAAAAAGGGGTTTCCTTTGGAGTGGACCCGAGTGCGGCGGCTGCCCACCTGGACATCTTTTTCAGGGCCGTTTGTACTTTGCAAAGGTAAGAGGATCAGTAGCAACCGAGTTTATGTTATTATTCTGTGTTAAGATTGATAGATAGGTAGGTGGGTAGATTTACTTTATTGATCCCAAGCTCTGCTACCCATACCCGCTACCCATTTTGATGAATTTCTTTGGATCCTTACTTCAGTCCCGAGATGCAAACGGCAAAAAGAAAGCAAAGCTGTGTGGTTTATTCTTTGTCTGAAAAGCAGGTCTTTTATATGTCAGGAAAAGAGTTCAGTTGGAAATTAAATGACGCCATGCAGCCGCCATGAACGCGCCCGTCATCTGGGCTTTAGAACATTCTTTCTGAGCTTGGCTTCGGAGGAACCTGCATTCAGCCGCCTGCTTTTATGATTTCCTTTCTTGTCATCACACATCCAGCCGTTTGATGAGGGACAGCTACAGCTTTACCGAGCCAGAATCCCTGCAGAGTCTGCCTCAATCCTCCATGTTAGTCATCCTCAAACCTTTTATCAAAGTTTCAGTGATTGAAGTGTTTTGGTTTCTGTGTGCATGTTCTCACTTATCCAGAGCTGCTGAGGTCTGGTAATCTGGGCATCTGTAAGTACGGAGAGAAATGCTCATTTGCCTACAACCAGCTGGAAATAGACGTGTGGACAGAGGAAAGGAAGGGGACACTGGACAGGAACCTGCTGTTTGAGACGCCATTTGTCAAACTGGACCCTGTGAATAGCATCATTGGCCTCCTGCAGGAAGACAAGGGCATGTTTATCTTCCTCTGTCAGGTTAGCACAAATATGCTTGTCATGTGTGCTTTTAGGAAAGCAGCAAAAGTGGGCGTGCACTTAAAAATGTCAATGATGATTAGGAGTAAAGAAAATATGCATGCTGATTTGGGAAATGATCAAATAAAATTTCAAATAGCACTAGCCTTTTCCATGTTCATGATATTTTCATTCACAGCATTAATCTGTTTTTCTGTATTTTTTGTAGGAGTGCTACGACAGTAAACCGCGAATCATCAGCAAGCGTTCGAGTTTCAGTCATTCCATCTGCTCTAACCTTGACGGTCGTCACAACTTTGATGCTAATAAGTGAGCTTGTGTGTCTGTCTGTGTGTGTTTGTTGGGGGGGCTTCTTTAAAGAGGACTGGACCTGCTTTACCCTTTGTGGCTCTAACAGGCATCTCCCTATGCACCCCCCCCCCCTTTGGTCCTTCAGGTGCTTGGCGTTTGTGGTCAGGACTCACATTGTGAAGTACAATAAGGTCCGCCCTTACCGTAGTTTCCTGTGCTGGTTGGATTTGTGCAACTATGCCATCCGTTATGGCTGCCAGAAAGAGGACGACTGTCGGTTTGCCCACTCTGTCATTGAACTTAAAACCTGGAGGGTTCAGCAACACACAGGTGCTATTTTCTTTTTTTGTGTTTGGCTTTCCAGAAATTTCTCAACTAATGCCACATAGTTGTTTGGTCTTGATTTAAACCTGTGGAGTTTATAAAGAATCTCTATTGATTCACTCCTGCTGATAAGGAATGACTCCAACTCTGAACCCCACTGCAAACTGGCCTTTTGGTATAAAACAGCACCAAGACGCAGTTTAACCACATTGGTCCACATACCAGCACTGAACCAGAGCTTGGACCAAAGCAAATATTAGTTTGATAGCCAAGATAAAGACTTAACGTCAACACAGATGGGTCTGATGAACGTCAGACTGCAAAGTATACTAGAGTACAAAAAGAGGAGACGAACACAGCATAGTGCTGCTGCTCTGAGAGCGTTGATTAAATTAAAGGTCTAACAACACCAAGCGTTCTCAGAGGTCTTCTGCATGTAACTTGAACAGAGTTTTCTTATCTTCAGTCTATTTCTGTTGCCTGTTTTAATATACATATAATTCATATAATATTCAGCTCTCCGGATCTGAAAAGGCTCCTCCCACCAGAGAAAGTGTTTCATTACAAGCAAATCTAGCAAATCCCCAAGGGCAGATCAGTCATGAGCGTTTTTTAATCCATTAAAAAAATTAAGTCACTCTAAATACCAGCTAAACACTTTTCAATCAGTTTCAGGGGGATTTCATGTCATTTTGTTTTTGTCTTCATTAACAGGAATCAGCCCAGATGAGATTGTGAAAATATCAATGACGTACTATGAGAAACAGGAGCAAAACCCAAACAAAGAGAAGGTAAACGGAGTAAGGAATCAGTTTTGTGATGTGTATACAGCCACGTTGTTTGCTTTCACTTTGACTATCCTTTGTTCGGTCCAGATGAGCCTGTTTCCACCTTTGGCTGTCATGCTCATTTTCACACCACCTGACTTCTGTTTTCCAAAAGCTGTCCTTTGGAGCGTGTGGAAGCAAATCAAAACTCGAAGGAGGCTTTGGGAAGACACTTAATATGAAGATGAAGTTCGCATGTGCTCAGTGCTGGCGCGATGGCCTAATAAGTGAACCAGACAAAGCACTAAAGTACTGCTCTGCCAAAGCCCGACATATGTGAGTAAAACTGTACATGTGTGCTCTTTTTTCTTTGTCCAACTTTGTCCAAATTATTATAATGACAAATGAGTGTGTAACAAATGTATATGACTAAAAGAGCAAAGATATCCCTAACAATAGAAAAAAGGGGGTTTTCTGTAATATGATAAATGTACAATTTTCATATTTTTTTGTGTGTTAGCTCTCAGAAAGGATGATTATAGTCCCCCCTCTCCAGTTTTTGGTGTTCCATGTCTGTCTTCTTGTCATTTCATTCTCAGGTGGACCAAAGACAGACGGGTTCTGCTGGTCAAGTCTCCAGAGAGAAGTAAATGGGTCCAGGTCCGACCACTGCCCCATGCCAAGAACTTCCCCTTACAGTATGATGTAGGTGTGCCTTCTCTAATCTCACACACTTCGATACAAGTTGTATCATGCAAGCGCTCTGTCCAGATGGACATTTTTCTCCTGATCATTGTTCCACCTCTCTCTTACTTTCTGTGTTTTTTGTGTTGTCCTGTTCATCTAAAAAAATCCAATTTGGACAATTGTCCTTTAGTACCTGTTCACAATTTCAGTGTGTACGGCTGCTTTTGGCTGGTGACGCTTGGACCTAATTGGTTTGGCTCGGCTTGAATCTGAAGGCCTATTTGAAGCAACAGGAGCCATCCACTTTAATTCAGTCTCCGTTCGTCATGATTGTAAATACCTGATGCACCAACCAACACTGAGGCTCAGCTGGCAAATCCCAGCCGCGATGTCCTTTATTGTTGTTGTGTGCTCAGGTCATAAATTATGTTGCGTCTTCTTGTCAACATCTCATTTGTAATGGAAATTCACCAAGACTGAGTCGAGGCGAGTGGAGCTGAGTAAGCTCTAATGGAAAACCCCCATCAATGTGGTGAGAGCAGCAGAGGCACTTACGCCACTGGTGTGGCGTAACATACATTAAGCATCATGAAGCCTGACCTATAATAACCCTGCCTTTGAAACATTACCAGTCAGGACTCAGGTTCTTATGCCAGCAGGTGGCACAGTTGGACTGTATATAGTGGGTCACATAAGGCCTGTTATTTTCCAAAAAGGATAAAAATGCATTGTCTGAATGGAAGATACAAATGGCATGTGAATGTGAACAGCACCTGTTTTTTTTTTTTCAGCATATTTAGAAAATGTCCAACAGCCAATTAAATGTTCATTGAGTTAAGGGTTCAAACTTCTCTTCGATGAACCACAATGATGTTTAAGCTTGTAAAAATTATGAATGTATAATTCAGTAAAAAGGCTTTCTTTCCTATGTAAAAACATTCTTTCATCTCAAAATATTAATACAGAGAAGCTTCTTCTAAATCTCTCTCTGATGTGCACATATCTTTGTGGCCCCATTAGTTAATTGTCACCATTCTCATACTTTTTCTGTTTCTCACCAACATTTTGGTGAGAAGTTTTTTAGTTCAATTGCAGGACTTCGGTGTACGTTCTGTAATTTAATGCAATCATATTTTCTTGCTCCAGATGTGCGCTCAGATTCTGGAAAAGAGGAAATGTAACTACCATGGGAACTGCACCTTTGCTCACAGCCCAGAGGAGAAGGAGATGTGGATGTATATGAAGAATAATGAATGTAAGTGCATACAGTCAATCCGTAAATGCAATTTGATAAAAGGCAAAATGCTCACGCGGCCTACCAACACCAGCTCTCCTAAGCGGAGCCTTTCGTATGTTTTCATTCAGTGATAGACATGCAGCAGATGTATGACATGTGGCTGGCTTTAGCCGCCCACAGCCGGCAGGCAGAAGGAGCCACGAACTCACAGCCCTACCCTGAGGGGAAAAGCATCCCCATGCCAACTGACTATGCTGAACCAATGGTGGGTTTACAGCTGACGTTCAGATTTACAAACCAAAATGAATTGATCCTTTAATGCATCTGTCTGAAAACATGGTTTAAATGCCTCCCTTTTCTATTTCAGAATGGCTTCCACTGTCGGCTTTGCGGTAAACACAGTAACAGTGAGCGACAGTGGCAGCAGCACATTTCCTCTGAGAAGCACAAGGATCGGGTGTTCAGCTGTGAGGGAGAAGACGAGGCCCTGACGTGGAACTACCGCTTCCCTGGGACGTGCTTTAAACTCTGCCCCAGGTGAGTTCTCACCCTGGATCAGTTTCACAGAGTCCAAGACGAGTGTCTTCGGTCGTCTGATACGAAGAGTCCAAATTTGACATGCCTCTGATTGGGATTATGGTGCTTCAATCTTGTAATAGTTTCCAGCCTTGGCATAAGATCAAGATATTTTATTGGGGAATTATTGAGAAATTGTCATGCCACAGGAATCTTTTGTGACATATGGATGAAAAAAGGTTCCATTAAGAGAACATGAACCCATATGTGGATGGTTTCCAGGCTGGATGGCAGATGCCCTGACGGCGTGAGCTGTGACTACGCCCACAGCCCAGAGGAGCTGCTGGAGTGGACGGAGAGACGGGGTTTCCTGCGGCAGAAGCTGGCCAAAGCCAGGGAAGACATGCTCATCATGCCTGACGACTTTGACTTTGGAAAGTACAACTTTCTTATGAAGGACTAAAAAGAAATGTTTTATTTCTTTTGTAACTGCCAAGCTAACCACTTTTTAGGACCTTTAAATCAAAGGCAAAGTCTTTTTGTGAAATTATCAGAATGTGTACAGTGAGCCAAAAAAAGAGGGTGGCATTTTTAAAACTGATGCACAGATATATTACCCTCCCATACACAAACAAACAGACAAAATCTAGCAGTCACAGACCAGCTCCTTTACTGTTGATTTGTTATTTGTTCATATTCGACTGTACAGCCATCAGGGCACTATTTGAAATGTCCATATTCCACTCAGTTCCCCTAAATGCACAGAATGTTCAAACCCAGGCCGTGCATGAAAATATTAGGATACCAAAAAATGATTTAATGTTCAAATCCACCTTGTTTCAAGCTTGCTGTACTCGTTATCATTAGAGAAGGGTGTCATGTGACAAATCATTACTACAGGAGAGCCAGTGACAAAGCAGTAGACTGGTTTGCCTCACGCAAAACAGCATTAGACATTACTGGCTGATAAGAGTCCTGTTAATTGTTTTATACTTAGATTACATGACTCGGCAATCAACTGTGTTCACCAACGATGGTTTTAAGAAGTATACCGGGATCGATGTCCTGATCTTCCGTTCCAATTTGTTTTAACTGAAACATCTTTGAGTCTGAAAAATGCAAACATATGTTATATCTTTGAGTTCAACAGTTCTTTTCCTCCAAAGATTGCAGCATCCCTGAGAACTGAATTGATTGTCAACTTTAACATTCAAATGAAAGGGGAAACAGTGTATCATCAATATTTGATGTGATTTCTAATTATTTTCAATTGTATTTGCCTGCATTTTCTTTCTTTCTAAACATTTAAATATAATAAATAAAACCCTAAATGTCTCCTGTCTTTCTCAACAACCCAAAAACTTTTAAATTAATCACAAGCTTAATTACGGTACATTCATGTTGCAAGTTCGCAACGGCCAGTTTTACGGAAGTAATTTCTGTGTTATTTGCACTTTTTAAAAAAAAAAAAGAGGTCAGCTTTCTTGAAGCTTGTTTTTTTTAGTTAGAAACATGAGCACCGCCTGGTGCACTTTCTCAGTGGGACACCAGCTGGCGCGAGTCGCTTCAGAAAGCCTACTTGGCCTTGCACGTGCAGCGGAGAGTCCGTGCACGCCGTGCAGAAATATGTTCACCTCTAAAAACCCTTCCTGTTTTTGTTTGTCCATCAGAGCCCCGTCCCTTCAACTTGATAGGTGCAAAAGTTTGATTGACATGTGCTCTGTCAAGTGGCCTCGAGTCAACAAGTGGTGGGGGCGTGGCTAACTCTGCTGCGTAATCCCTCAAAACATTTAGACGCAAGCCGACGCGCTCGTGTGGATGAGAAGTAGTAGGAAAGTTGAACAAGTCAGACTCAGGTAGAACGCAAAGCTTCTCTCCTACATTTGGAGTATTTTATTGCTGTTCCGTTGGATACACTTCCTCCATTGGAAGTGACCCAGAAGATTTTTCGTCATGTCGACCGTCAACCAAATGTTATTTGGCGACAGGAGCGACGTTCCTGATCTCTTAAGGGCTTTGGCTGACTATCCATTCTCCTTCCCTGCCTTTGACGACAGTGGTAAGATAAATACCTTCATAAATATTTCGGAAACTGAAACCAGGTTTTTGTATTCAGCAGACGCAGCATTAGCTAGCAAACATCATACGACTGGTTAGTTGTAACATAGTAACACTAACCAGTCATACACACCTAAAAATATTCTTCATCTACACTAAAACTTAATGTTTTTACATGCTTAGTTGCATAGTATTATAACCAGCTCGTAAGATTTGACACAAAACCGTGTTTATCTACGTTTTTAGCTCCAAGTTAATTGCTTAAAGTCGCCAAAACTGATGAAAACAGTTAACCTCCCAGCTATTTCAATCAGTCCATTTCTATTGACGCCATCACGAGTAAATCTGACAGTGGCCGTCATGCTGATGATAAACACAGCCTTCATACCCCTGCCTGCAATAAATCCAGTCATGACTGTTTTAGTCTTCTGTTTTTTTTTCTAATCCTTCAACTGCGTGGTCCTACTCATGCTGAGCTTAGTGCTGACTGTGTTTTATTGCGTTTCTGGTTAAAGTCAGGTGGATTAAGCACAGGAGGGCCCATTCTCTGGTGTAATTATTAGTCTTAGTTGGTTTGAGATTATCAGTTATAGTTTATATAAAAGTTTAGTAAGGTGTCAGCGGGCTCAAGCAGACAGGTGGGGGATTTCTGCAAGATGGATTTGAGCACTGTGGTCTTTGATCGTGATGTCACAACAGGACTAAACCCTGATGCAATAAAGCTGAAATGGTCCTCACTCAGGGTTTCATCACATCACCAGTTCATTTGTGGGTGCAAGTTGGACTGGGAGATTCCTTTCTAGCTCACCTTCATTTCCAACATGTTTTTTGGGCATTCCAGACTTCTTTAGTTTGTTATTACAGACACAAAAAAAAAGGACATCAATGCCGCAAAACTACACTGCATAAGTCGTGTGACTTGTTCTCAATTTCTTTTTTCCTCTTTTCCATCAGCTCTTTTCACGTGTCTCCTTTTGCTTTGTGTATGGACAAAAATATGTCAAACAGCTATTTCAGCCTATTTAGGTCACGCCTGAAAGTTGCAGCATACTAGAGACAATAGTGCTGTGTGGTGCACTAAAGATGGTCTCTAGAAGAGTAACTTACATCCAGGTGGTATAAGTCAATAAGTGACAATCAAATATGAGTTGGCTCATGTTTCTGAGCTCCTCAGCACATTTGTGGAAACGTTTCTGGGCACCAGAAGGCTTAAGATGAAGATCTGTTGATTCAGGCTGGAACAGGTTATTAAGCCATCTCCTAAAAATACCAAATTTTACAGTCCACTGTCAGGCAGATTGCATGTTAATGGATTAAGGTTCCATTATCCCACAAAAGAGTGGCCGTCCAAAATAGTGATTTTCCAAACAGAAAAGCTAATTTATTCAATTGGGTTGCTTTGACAGAGCTTTAAGTCTCAGTAAGCCATTGGAAAGAGTCACCAGTATACATATCGGCTTTAAAGTTAATTGTTTTTAAATAGTTTTCTGCATATCTGCAGCATTGTCAATTACCAGCAAAAATAAAAATGCTTCAAAGGTGTTTTCCTAAGATCACCGTCATTACGATTACTTAAATGACCGAGATTCTGCATTGTCTTACGGCTTCAAGCAAGTGTCACAAATCAGATGAGGATGTGATGGGATGTTTATCACCTTACTTCTTAAGTTTTAATCATATAAATGAATATGTAATTTTTGGTCTGGGGCCACTTCCGTACAGGATAGCTCCTGTAAATGGTGCTATGGGGGGTCATGATGTGTAATATTCCTGCACCTTAACAGAGCAATTGTGATTAAACTGGCATAAAAAAGGGGTTGATGGTTTATTCTGTGGGACTGCTGCTTCTGTGTCACGTTTTTTTGTCGTAAAGCATTCAGAGGACAGTGGAGTTTGGCCTCTCGGTAAACAACACCCACAGTAACCTTTGCATCATTATCCCCTCGGGCTATGCCTCACATTGCCAAGCAGGTTGGAGAAGTTTAAGCCCCTATTTACCCTGGACAGGTTAGTCAGACCCACTGAACTCAATCTCCCCATCTCTACCTCCCCATCCTCCCACCCTGCGCTGGTGTTTGGAAGCATTGAGAGCCATGTAGGCCGCACCTGGTGTGAGTTTGACTATAAATAATACAGTACAAACCTCCTGTGAAAGTCTGTTCTTCTTTGTCTTCTTTGTTGTCAGAAATTGGACACCCTGCCACCTGCATACATCTTTGGTACACGAGGGGAAAGATGATATTTTTTGGCCTGCATAAGGGGAACAGCAGGGGGCAGTGATAGGTGCTTAGTTTAATAGACCAGCTCGGTTTGCCATAAACCTAAGCAACGTTCTTACTTGACATTCATTAACCGCTGCAGGGCGTCCATGAGGTGTTTGCCCAAAAGAGCTGCGGTACATTGTGCCATTTTAGGAGACTGTCGTGGTTTCCGTGTTACATTTAGACTCTGCCTGTATATTTACTAAATGTGACATCTTGAGATTATGATTTTATTAAGCGTGATGCTGTGTAAATAAGGTCACGGCAGCTGATTTGAAATGTACAGAAACTCATGTAATCTTTTGTTACGTTTTGTTTCGGTGACAGCGAGTCTTGTCTTAAGTTGCTTATTGGTATTCCAGCTCAAGGTTCATTGGCGTCCTTTCTGTTTGGACTTGTTTGCTAAATTATGGAATTGTTAAAAAAAAAGCCTTTAATTAGAAGCGAAGGTGGGCTGTTTGCAGTTTGAACATTGTGTTCCTGAATTCGTTCTGAGAGGGCGAAGGAGATATGTTCACTGTCGCGTGCTGAAGAAGAAACCGTGCACGGAAACGTGAGATAGCTACTCATTGTGGCTCTAAGGAGTGACATTTATGTCTTGTTTTTAAAAACCTCTCCGTTTCTAAGTCAGAGTGTGCTCAAATAGGCTGCTGTGTAATGAACATTTCCATTATATCGAAGACTTATTGTGTTCGGTTAAAATACGACGACACTGCAACTGCCGAGTAAACAACATGTGTCGTACTCGCGCCTCGTGCGAGCTGTCCAGGCGCGCGCTCGAAGTCGCCTTGCCCCGCACGTGCTGAACATCCGAGGCCACGCCCCTCGACAGATTGTACACTCACGTGAGAGGGGAGGCGGCAGCCCGCACGTGTGTGTCCACGAGCGTCTGCTCTCTGGAAGGGACAACAAGTCATTGCGGGGTATTTTGGGTGTGGGCTCACCTCCGTGTGCAGCTACAGAGAAAAAGAGAAAAACACAACCTGCTCAGGGCTTTTACTGTCCGTAGCCCCTCTCCTAACACTTGCTTTCCATTTTTCTATTTTAAGATCATATTTGGAGACTTCCGCACAGGCTTTCCGTGGCTCATAATTAATATATAAGGGTTGTGTTGTTTTTATTTTTTTGTTTTTTCAATGAACTAAAAGTACGTTTTATCTTTGCGAGCGTTTTCAACCAAAGACTTCGCCTCCACAAATAAAGGCTTATGACATTAGCAGCCAATCAGCTTCTACTATTCCTGCTGTGGGCGGGACCGGCGACTCATGAATATCCAATGAGCTCGCTCGCAGGGGTACGGAGAACGAGGTGTTTGTGGAGCGTTGTTTTTCCACGTCCTAATTCGACTATATTGACAAACGACCGACCCCCTCGTCGGTGAAAACGGCCACGGAGCTAGTGACAAGCCGCGGTGTTGTCTCGGTGGTTTCGCTGCGTTTGAAACGAGCTTTCCTTTCCCGACATAGCTACGGTCTCGTCGGAGCTTGGCAGGAAACAATGCCTGGCAAAGCCGCGGTGGCACTAGCGCTTCAGCCCGGTGGAGACGCCACCACCGAGCCGCAGAAGTCATGCCCTTTCGTGTTGAAAAAGATTATGGACATCCCTCCTCCTAATATTCTGGAGGAAGGCGAGGACGGTAAGCTTTTACACGGCCGCGGGGGAGCAGCTCTGTTGCTCTCAGTTGGTCTCCGTAACTTGAATCCGCTCTTGAGTTTGACGCCAGTTTGAAGGCGGTTGGATAAATTGGGATACGGGTAGCCGTGGATCGATAACTGCATGCCAAGTTATGCCACATTTTGTAGGTCACGGCTGATGGGCCATATGTTGCGCGTGGCCAGACGGAGGGAAAGAAACCAAAAGAACAAAAAGTTCCCCCTGGCCTGTGCTGCTCTCTTAGCAGGAAAACGAGGCTTTACAGACGCTGGATGACAGACTTAGTCTTTATCATTTCATCTGTATGTTTATCTTGACTTATTTGGTTTCCATTTCTCTAGTTGAAGGCTTGAAACAAAGCTAACACTTCTACTATCTGCCTTCTTGTCTCCTGTTGGCTGCTGCTCTCTTTGTCTCTGTGTCAGGATGAGTGAAAGGGCAGTTTGTTCCTGCCTGTGTTTGTTAACCCACTTTGTGCTCAGACATCACATGCCTCCAGCATCTGTAAATCCCATCCACCTATAAATGGACTTTTTGACCCTCTGAATCAAGTGTCTGCTGAAGGAATGTTTGCTAATCTCAAGCATTAACTGTTGTCTTGGTTTTGTTGTTGTTTTTTTCAATGCAGAGATCGAGAAAGAGAAGCTGTGCTCCACTGAGCATGTGGAAGGAGGTGGGGCCGTGGCATCCAGTGGTGGTGCAGATACCAGAGGAGGAGGGGGCGCGAGTAACGGAGGAGGAGGGGTTTCAGCCTCCCTGACCCCCGCCATCTGGGAGAAGACCATTCCGTATGATGGGGAGACCTTCCACCTGGAGTACATGGACCTGGACGAGTTCCTCCTGGAGAACGGCATCCCTGTGAGTCTGGAGGAGGAGGAGCTGCAGAAAACTCTGGCCTCAGTGGAGGGCAAGGGCAAGTCCGCCCCCAAAGTAGTTCACCTCGCTACTGCCGCCCCCCCGGCTGCCGAAGACGCCGTCGACACCTCAGCATCTCCCCCCTCTCCCTCTGCGGCCACGTCCGACCCAGAGGAAACTGTGACGGTCACCACGTTACAACCAGCTAAACTGGAAGAGGAGGAGGAGGAGGAGGAAGAAGAAGAGGAGGAAAACGAACAGGAGGAGGAGGAGGAGGAGGAAGGACAAGAACAGGAACCTGAGGAGACGACAGCAGAAGTGGAAGTGAAGAAAAAAGGTGACTAATAAACAAGAACTCTGTGCAATTTTTAGTCAAAAGCAAAGCAAGTGAGGTTGTTATTTCTGTATCAAAAAGCTTTGGCAACTATGTTTTGGGAGTCAGAGCTACTTCTGATTCCTGCTGAGTTCCACACATTAGCAGTGCATCGTACATAAGTAGGAACTTTGCTTTAGAACAAAGCAGCTACTGCATTATCTGACTTTGCATACGCAAATGCACCGCGCAGACTTTGGAACCCATTTTACTATTTATTTACATTTGAAGCTGAAGATGTGTGATGGGTCACTAGTCTCTGAGAATTTTCTAAATATCCGTGACACCAGATCATGTTAGCGAGCTCCTCTGTCCCTGCTACTCTGATTCCAAAGTCTTCAGGATTTTTTAAAAACATTTTTTGTTATCGTAAGAGGGCATTTTTACATTTAGATTTTGTATTAGTAAAAAAAACATTGTTTCACGCACACATCTCTGCCGTACCCACAGCTCGCAACACGCCGTCCCCCATTGATCCCGAGGCCATCGAGGTGGACATCAACTTCCAGCCGGACCCCACAGACCTGGTCCTGTCCAGCGTGCCGGGGGGAGAGCTTTTCAACCCCCGCAAGCACAAGTTCTCCGACGAGGATCTGAAACCACAGCCCATGATCAAGAAGGCCAAGAAAGTGTTTGTGCCAGATGAGCAGAAGGTTGGTGCCAGTTCTTCTGTCTTTTTGAGCTCCTGCTAAAAATAATTAATTAATTAATTTACAAAAAAACCCCCAGCAAGAATAATTTAAAAACCAGTAGAATTTTTTACCCTTTCAGATTGACCAAATAAACGAGAGGCGGTTTTTCCTGTAACTTTCTAATTGGTTTCTCCTCAGGATGACCGGTACTGGTCCCGGAGGAAGAAGAACAACCTGGCGGCCAAGCGTTCCCGTGACGCGCGGCGGCTGAAGGAGAACCAGATAACGGTGCGCGCCTCCTTCCTGGAGCGGGAGAACGCGGCGCTGAGGCAGCAGGTGGCCGAGCTGCGCAAGGACTGCGGCCGCTGCAAGAACACGCTGGCCCGCTACGAGGCCAAGTACGGCCCGCTGTAGGACCGGGGAAAAAAAGAGAAAAAAAAAAGACGAGGAGACTCGGAGCGAAACCCAAACAGGCACCACTGAGCCCGCAGCAAAACCCCCCCCCCCCCCCCCCCAGAACCCGACATAAGACACAAACTCCGAGCGAATCCAAATTTGCACTGTTGCCCACACTGACCGGCGGTCACCGTGCGGAGCTCCAGCCGGCGAGGCGCCGCTGGGGGTTTGGACTCACACAGCGAGGCCCGAGGGGAGCGGGGGGGCTCAGCAGGAGCCCGTGGAGAGCGCCTGGCTCCCACACCCACAGGACAGAACGACTGGAGGCCCAACACAAACGCAAGATTTGGTTTGATTTCAAACGACAGCTCATGGACAATAAAAAAACAATACAAGGCTCATACTGCAGAATCACACTATAGATGCTACATATCAGTTTTAGTCACGACACTTCGCAGCGGACCAAATCTAAAGTAGCTACAGTCGGAGGTGGGCGGGCACTTCTGTCCAGGCAAACTTGCCATCTATCACTTTTTTTATTTTTTATTCTGGCACTTTTAAACTAATACTTTAAAGGTAGCAGAGGTCAGGCCGATGGCCGTAGGAGGAAAGAAGGGAAGTCTGTCAGTAGTGAGGTTCAGTCACACCCCACCCCAGCACTCATTTCCTGTCCCGCACCACGCCGTTTTCTGTGTTTTTTTTGCGATCCATCGTTGCCCTTTTCCTTGAAAGAAAAAACAAAAACAAGCACACACACACAAACTCGGCGTGAAACAAGTGGTGGAACCAGCTTGTTTTTTAAGAGCAGGGTGGTGCAGCAGCTCCCGTAAGGGAGGGGGGATAAATAAATAAAAAAACCCACGCATGACCTGTGGGTTGAAGCTATTGTGAATTTTTTCTTTGTTTTCTCCCTTTTTCTTCTGACGTCAGATCAGATCTGGGAGTTTCGCATAAGCTCTTGCGGAAGACGTCGTCGTAAACGATGACTTGGGAATGGGAGGAAGATGACTACTTTTTTCTCTGTAGGTTATTTTTAACAGGGAAACGTTTGACGATCTCAAGGGCCCTCACTGGTGGAGGGGTATGTTAATATGTAGAGATGTTTATTTCACTGCACATTGCAAGTAGGGGGCGCTAGAGTCATCACCTGCCACAGGTGTGGTGACGGGAACATTTTTCTTTCTTTTTTTTTCTATCTGAAAAGTGTAGCCAAGCCTAAAGCTGAGCGCTTCTCAACCATGTAAATAGCTGTCTGTGGTCTTTATTTCTAAAAACAAGGACTATGACTGTCTTTATTAACCTTACACTTATCCTGATGTTTGCCAAATAGTCAATGAGTGCTGTATTTATTCTGATGCTAATAAGACATCTGTCAATTGTGATGTACAACAATACGTCAGATATTTCTATTTTCCTTTTGGGAACAATACTTATACAGTGAAACCAATGATCGAGCAGGGAATTCAAAGGGTAAACTGTGTTTTTTGGATATTTTTAAACTGTTTTTTTTGCCTCCTCCTATATTAATACATATACGTCAGAACAACGGAGCACACTTTTATGTACCTCGTCCAGCACTTTCTACTCTGGATGGTCAACAGTAGGTTCGACAGGGCAGCAAGCGCACAAAAGAGAACAATCGGATCGAATTGTTGTGCCTTTGTGGCAGTTTGTTTCAAATTTGGTGAATTACGGACTGATGAGAGATTCAACATCTCCTTTTTTTGTTTTTTTTGTGGCTCATATGTACGGCCATCGCGGAAAGAAAATTTATGTGGCAATAATATTCTCGTTATTCAATGCCTGTTTCATTTTTAGTAATGGCGTCGTGTGTAGAATTGCTTTGACGTGCTGAATAGAAGTGTTCCAAAGTCATTTGTGCTTCCAGTTTAGATCCTTTTGTTGTCAAGGATCCCAATGCATGAGACCCAGTAAACTTGTCTTTCTTCTTCTTGTAGATTTAAAAATTTTTTTCAACACCAAGTGTACTTATGTCTGTAAAGCATCACTGAAAGAAACCCGGACATGTTTGGGGATGGTTGAGCTGACGATATATATTGTATAGCTCTATTAAAAAAAAAAAAAACAGTTAAAAAAGAATCTGTGATGCCCTCTGATTGGCTGACACAACAGCACCACCTGTCCCTGAGCAGCAGGAGCTCCGTATCTGTGGCCAGCTCAAATATTCAGATGGAAAGCCTCTTTTTTTAATCTCCGGGTGGATTGATCTTTTTCTACATCCACTGGATCAGCTGGTGCTTTTGTGTTCTCTGGGTGGAGTTCCTGATGGTGTAGAATAACACATCTTTCCAAGCATTTTTGCTTGGCTTTTTTTTCTTTTTTCTTTTCTGCATTGACATTCAAAATGACCATTACTTTTTACTAAATGGGAATATCCTGCGTTAGGCTGAAGGTACGGGCCACTCCGGCCTTTTGAACGACAATAAATAAACCAGTGATGTACCTCACTGAGTGATACACAGAGAATATGTAGCGATTTTGGTAAAACTGAGTCATGGAGCTACACTCAAAAAGAGATTTTTGGCAGTAAAGATTTATTAAGCTTATGGGTGTGGGCACATCTGCTGTTTTTCTAAAGATTGCCACTCCTTTAAAACCCGGGGCCACTTTGACACAGCGACTGTTTTCGATTCTTTTGTCCTTTCTTTCCTACTAAAGGAAATGTTTGTGTGTATTGTATTAAAGGCCTCAAAACTAACATCCGTTGAAGGTGTTAGAGATTTTAAAAAACATGATTAAAACATTACAAGGATGGTTTTGCGTTGCAGTAACTAAACTTTGATTAGAGAAAGGCTGAAGTGCTGTTTTCTGTCGTTACCGATTCCAAGTGCTTTTGCAACTGACCACTGTCCTGTCATTGTTTACTCTGCTCCGTAGCTGATACTCCGGGAAGAGAGAGAGAGTTAGAGAAGAAGTGTCTTTATCAAAATGTTCGGATTGTTCTTTTTTTTTTGCTTGGTTCTCTTTTTGTATAAGCCTGTCTTTTTTGTAACCGCGTACCTGTAGTATCATGCTCTAACTGTACCTTGTAATATGCATATGGAATAAAAAACGGAGTTGAATGACACGCGTGTCCAGCTCTGACCTCACCCGTGTCACCCGGCCGGACGGAGGGAGAGCAGGGAGCCGCTGGGGTCCAATCCGGGACTGCCCGGTCCAGTCAGCCCAGAAGGCCGCATGCATGAGCCCAAATTAGAAAAGGACTTATTGATCTAGCAGCGGCTTTTATTCCCCCTTTTTTTCCCCCTCCTCCCCTCCAAACTGTCCCTTTGTTGCCTTCTCTGCTCATCAGTATTCCACAGCAGTAGGAGATGTTGCATAATGATCACATCCACACACAGGGGAGCGGGGTTGCGTAACAGCAGCAGCATGAAAGACAAGCAGGATGCGCGCATGCGCGTGAGAGGAAGAGACATCCAGCGGGTGATTTGGAGGAGATGAGAGGCAGGAAAAATGGAGATGGATGGAGGGAGGTGAGTGGCAGAGAGCAGCCAGAGGACAGCCAGGGAGAAGAGTTCCATCTTCCGCTTTGAATTATTGATCAAACATCCCTTGAATCGGATCGCAGCGATGAGCGCGCGCACGGATCGCCTCCACGCGCGCCCAGAACAAAAACAACAACACCAAAACGGCGTGATGGTGGGATGGAGGGATTTTACGACACGTCGCGGAGAAATAACAAGAACAAAAAAGACCATGACACGTTGAGGTTTTATTTTCCATGCTTGTTTTTTTTTTTTGCCGATCTGATTTTTATTACAAACTTAAAAAAGAATCTGATACAATAAGAAACTGCAGTAGTAACTCCCCACTGTCGAGGGGGCAGCACAGAAAACAGGTCATTGCATTTCAGTAGTGAAAGATTCATCAGACATCTACAGGGTGGACAGATCAGGTACAAAATAGGACAAATAATAAAATACAGCCAGGAAAGAAACACCAATTATATATCTATATATATATGTATATATATATAGAAAATATTCATATTTAATCTGAACATTTTATTATAATTATTTTATTCTTAAATGTTAAAATTGACATAGAAAATAAAACTTTTATGTCAATGAAATATCCCAAAGTGCAAAGTAAAACACGTTGATGTAAGCAAGGAACATCAGAATATAAAATTTTCTTTTCCCTCCTCGTTTAAATCCCCATCTGACCCAGCCTGCATCCAGACTGGACTTCTGTTTGCCATCAGTACCATCTTATATGTTTTTTAACACTGAACAGAAATTAAAAGCGATGTGGGTGAATACCTACTTCCAAAATCTGTCACCTCACACCAACAAAAGCTCTTTGGTGTGAGACCTCCTCAGCCTGTGTTTTTATTATGAGGAATCCCAACTTAATGATTATTCTTTTCCATGGGCCACCTACAGCAGGACTGACCCTTCCTGAATCCATCCAATGCCGTCATAAGACCATCTTTCTACTGTAGAGATAAAAGAATGGCTGTTCCTGGCTGCAGAATGGTAGAAATGCATCAGGTTAGTTTAGTGATGGCGTTAGACTGCACTGACACACAGGTCTTGTTGTTGGTAAAGACAGTTTTTTGGGCCATGGCTATAGCATCAGTACCAAAATGGACTAGCTGGTTGAAAAAAGAAAAAAAAAAGACTAAGTTGGAATGCAGAAAAAGGGTGTTTGTATATGGACAGTGCAGTCATATCTACTGTGCAGATTTTTGGTTTAAATGTACTGCCTGTGGGAGTAACGGTTTTCAGAGCGACCTGGGAGTACAAATAATATCATATTGGCCATCTTTTCCTCAGCAACCCCACTGTAAACATTCACTTCTTAAACTCTGAACCAAAGAATACATTTACCCGTCTCATTAGACAAATGCTGTACAAGGTACAATACACATTCAATACTTATTCTGTACATCTTTATTTTGTCTCAGTTTGCATATATTCATGTTACGTTTTTGAAAAAATAACTTCAGCATGTAAGAAACTAAACAAGGAATCTGAACATAAGAACTTTTTATATACATGTTCCCGGAGTCACCTTGTCTTAATACAAGTGATAACTTTGAAAACTAACAAAAAAAACTAACAAAAAAACAAAAACACAAAAGTACAGAGAATGAGTTAGAAAAAACAAACAAACAAAAAGTAAGGTAGAAATCTTTGCTGTCAGATCACTTATTCAGAAGTACACATCCCTACCCCTTCCCGTGAAAAAGGACTAAAAGCTGCATTTATGTCAACATGTCGCACAAGCCAAGTCCTTCAAGTCATCTAAACAAACCACGACAACCATTTACTTCGGGCCTGAAAAAAACAAAAACTATTCAAATAAATGGCTAAGATTAACATCTTACCATCTGGACGTGAGGAAATACAGATTCAACTACTCTTTTAATCTCTAAAGCATTACGTTAACAGCAGAATAAAAAAAGGTGCAACAACCAAAGGGGGGGGGGGAGAAAACCAGGGGGGGGGGGGCAGCAGCCCGGAGATAAAGTGCAGGACAGCTGGACATGTGGAGGTCACCCCTCCACGTACCATAAGACCTGGCTGTTAAATGTACATCGTTAGAAACATCAGATATCTGGACCTGGACTGTACCATTCTGTTGTTTTCCTTTGCAGCGGGCGGAGGAGAATATGGAGGAGAGGCGGAGAATGGAGGGAGCCGTTGGCTTCCACACCACTTAAGCCTACCGGAGACGTGCTCTGGGTTTTAAAGCCTCGCTTCCCCAGCCGGTGCAGAGGCGCCAGAATCATCTCGCTGCTTCTCTCCCTCCCTCCTGCCCATGCAGAGGAAAACCTCTCCTTCATAGTCAAAGTCATGCTAAGCCATTTATCACAATCCCTGCCGCTTAGCTAACCCCCCCCCCCCTCACCGCCTGTTCACCTTCACACGCTGCTGACTGGAGTCGCATGTACGAGCGCATTCATGCACATCGTGTGGGCCTGCCTTCTCATTTGCCAGCACTTTGGATTGAGGTATGAATGAGCACATGGTCGTCAACGTCTAAAACCCAAATCATTGCTGTCTCACATTCACAGAGGGTCTTCTCCCACCGTAGCAGCTGCGATTCCCCCTGACAGCTACAATACATTCCACAGCGTCCCTGTAGCAGGGCCATGGCTCTCTGCTCTGGTCTAAACCCTGCTCGTGCACACGTCCCGCTTTAACGACAGCCAGCTTTCAATATGGATCACTGAAAGGTACCAACCAAGCCCGCCGACCAAAACATAACACAGGGCTGGCCCCGCCCCCCCCCCCCTCCCCCCACCCTACCCGAGCTCTTTCCGTCTCTGTTTTTGTGGCAAGTAGGGCAGAGCAGATTGCAGAGCAAAGTGCTGAGTTCTCCACAGCCATCGTTCCCTGCAGGACTTGGCAAAGTCCTTTTTCACAGCATGACAGTGCAGTGCAAAATGGAGCTATACTAGAGCTGAGTCTATTAGAGTACAAGGAGAAAAAAAACCAAAACAACAAAAAGTCTTTAACATTAACATTTGATGTGAAAATAAATTAGCTTAAACAGGGGTTTAAGCAAAGACCGGAGGCAGAAACTCACCCCCGTCTTCACAGAGAAGGTGACGGGGAACAGTGACGGGCACTGGGGAGGTGGGCTTTGTGGGGTATAGATACAAAACAAAAATCACATGAATTATTCAGTGGACAGATTTTTTTTCTTCTTTTTTAAATCTTTGTAGTAAAACTATTTCTCAACATGTATTACCATTAGAACAATTTGTTAGAAAAAAAAAAACAGAAAAATGGTGGAGCGTCACCCAACGCTTTCATTGGACAATCCTTTTACAAACGAAGGCTTAGTTAGCCAGCACGACGGGCTGGAAGGACTGGCTCGGATATTGCAGGCTGTAGCTTCCCAAACCTTCCACAAATGGTGGCTTTTCCATGTAAGAGATTCCGCTGCTGCCAATGATGCCCATGCTCTGCTGGGGAGGGGAGCTGGAGAAGGGGTCGAAGGTGGGGTTGGCGCTGACGGAGTGCGGGGGCTGGAAAGGGCTGGCGTGAGGCTGCAGGGGCTGGGCGTCGGCGTCCAGGTAAAGGGGGCCCGGGGATCCTGGGTAGACAAACTCTTTGGCGTTGGGGGACAGCTGGCTGGGAATGGGAGCTCCGAGGGAGTGCAGGGAGAGGGACAGGGGCTTGTGCTTGAGCAGCTCGGGGGGGGGAGATGGTGGTGGGGGACCGGGAGAGCATCCTCTGGGAGGGGGGCACGATGACACCAGAGCTGGTGGCCGCCCCGGCCCCGCTGCACTTCTTCATCTTGGTGGAGCCGAATTTAGTGGCGGCAAAGCTGGCGGTGGTGAAGGTGATGGGCTGCGGGCGAGCAGCAGGAAGAGTGGACGGGGGCGGCTGGGCGGAGAGGTAGGGCAGCCCGCCGCTCGGGGGAGAGGGGCTGGAGGTGTTGGAGGAGTGCACGGCGGGGTCGGAGGGCGGGCTGGAGCTGGGGTGGCTGAAGAGGCCAGGGCAGGCCTGGCCAGACAGAGGGGTGGGAGAGCTGGAGAGGGATTGCATGAGGGCAGGCGATACCTGGCTTCCAATCGGCACAAACACCTGAGCATCCGGGTTAAAGCCCAGGCTCTTTGCCTCTTCAGCCTCTGCATCTCCTTTTCCATCACGAACAACCCCCTCAGCCACATCACCGTCACAGCCCAGGCCCGGAGGGTCTTCCAGGTAGAGCACCTTTACCGCCCCCTTCTCTCCTATCTGGTAGGACACCTCGTAAGGGTCGATCCAAACACTGAGCTCTGCTGGAACGTTTGCGCGCACTTCCTCTGTGTCCAGCCCACTTCTTTTGGCGGCCAACTCCACCACAGGGTCCCTTGGTGCTCCCAAGTGGATGCAGCGGAAGGCAGAACCCCTGAGGGGGGCTTCCGGATACCAATGACCCTCAAAACGGGACATGAGTATCCTCTCCAGCTCCTCGCCGAACAGGTCAGCTCGGCGGCGAGGCAGCTTGTTGTACAGGTAGGACACGATGAAGTTGAGGGCAACCTTTACCTCGAGATGCATGGCTGCACCAGGCGAGCACCGCCGTGGAAACTTAACTCGAGACGACGGCACCGAATGGGAGGCAACGCAGCTGCAGGAAGTTTGTTCCTCTGGCTTATTAGAAAGTGTTGGACTCTTTTAATGTCATCATTGCAGCTCAGAGGCAGGGCATCGCTGGGTGTCTGTGCCGTGTTTCAAACTCTGAAAATGGAATAAAAGAATTAGTCTACTACTCTCCAGAAACTCGCAGTTACTCACACCGATGCTCTGCACACAGAGCGAGATACAGATATCCAATTAGTTGCAATGTTGGCAAAAAAAAAAAATGTAATTAGGAATACATGATGAGAACATTTAAGATGCAGGAAAGTTTACACATTTTCCCAAAGAAGCGGAATATTTCTATTAAACCATTTAAGTAACATCTTTTGCAATGAAATCAGCAACCTTATAAACCTTATATAACTATTCCAAGTCAAAGCAGCAGCTACAGGAGGTGGTTTTAAATTTCAGGTTCATCAACTGTGGGATGCACTGATGGATGTAACAGATGCTGCGTTGTAAGCTTCATAAATCCCGTTTAATCTGAATGTGATCACATAAAGTGCTTCTATCATCGTGCTTCAACTTGCAGCCCATGCACTGTCACGCAGACACTAACCAAGCAAAAGATTACAAACGGATGAAAACCCCCCGAACAAAGCTAAGCCCAATCGTACTGGGGAAGAAGCAGAAAATGGCAGGACAGCAGACTGATGAAACACAATTTCCCAGCATGCAATGCGAGCCATGCCCCCCTCTCTCCTCCTCCCATCACTCACACACACACAACAATTCCCTAGCATCCACCTCCCTGCCAGATGGGGACTCAGCAGCTAAGATTAGAAAGACAACTCAGATTAAAAGACAATTCTAACGTTGTTAGAACAGATAAAGCTGCACAGGCTGGACGGGGGGGCTGCCGGACCGATGGCTCGTGAAAAGATTTGCCATTTCCTTTCTCATGACATTGAGGGATAAGAAAGGAGCTTGTTGGAATGAGGCTATAAATAGGGCCCTGTTTTTGTTTTTTTTGTTTTTCTTTTTTGCACCCTCCATTTCCAACAGCTTCATCACAAATGAGTAACGGCTTCAGTAGAAAACAGATCCAACAGTCCGCCACCTTCAACGGCCAGCGTCAGTGAAAACACTGAGTGCACAAAGAGCTTAGGCACTCACCACTCCTTATAGCCCTTTCCTTAAAAAGGAAGATTTGGAATACACAATGTCAACCAATGACAAGGGAGGATCGCCTCATTTTTGGATTCAAGAGTTAAATTCTAATGAAATCCCTCACAGGGAACCACTTGTCATTGTTTGACATTTATGGGTCAGACCATCAGCAGGATCCAGGTGGTATTTTTGTTTACATGGGCTCATAATGAGAGCGGTGTGGGCTGCTGGACAGACATTAAATGTCAAGCATAGCGACTCAGCATCAGAGCTACAGTGATCGTGCTGGCAGAATGAGCAGTAGCAAACATGCAACTATAAGAAAATATCGTGTTGGAGGATAAGATACACACAGAGGCCTGTTAGAACACACTGTTATGGTTTGCCCTCTCCTGACAGTCCTTCCACACATTAAGATTTGAAATATTACCCTACAAACCTCTAAAAACAAAACGAGGTAAATGTCCTGGTGGAATTGACAGGTTTCTATAGGTGAAAGGTAGCTTTGTGTACCTGAGGATTAGTGCCATACGTCAAGCAAAGTGGAAAACCCCTCCTGTCCAATTTGCCAAAGGGAATTAAATCACAAAGGTAATGAAGTAGGAGCACATCGAGAACGTTTACCGGACGACGAAGGAGGCAGTCCTAGTATCAACATCCCAGTCAAACAACAAAGGACACGTCAACTACAAGGGGCACACTTTAGCGGGAACATATGTAAAACGGATAATAGAGGCTAATTTTTGACTAACTGAGACAGAAAAACCTATGCCAGCACCTATGCCAGCACCAAAAAGAAAGCTAAAGCGTCTTGGTGGCAAACCACCAGCACGTCTAGATACGCTCCCACACGTAAATATGAGGAGATATTTGCCCTTTTTCATGCACCTGGCGACAGTTAATTACCCACCTATCGGTACTGATGCGCGAGCTTGACTTCTACTCCTGCGTCGTCTCTAATTCCTTTGTGTTATCTCTGATTCAACGCGGCTGTGTCGAGTCACGGGTTCGGATGCTTTATAATTTGTCACGTTAGTGTCGCAGCCTTTTTCCCCACCAGTGCAAATGAAATAACCGGACGGAACAAGCTTGTCTTCAACTGACACTTTGCACGGAGGGTCCAGCGAAACTTTACTGTTTGACAACCCGGCGTATTTATACAGTGTGACTCGCCCACACCCCCGTGACGACAGGGACTACTTTCTTCACATCGTAATACGAGGTACTCCATCTTTTTTGCCTGTGACTTTATCTGCGCATCTGTCCACCTGACCGTTCACTTCAGTGCAAAGCATACACTTTTGATATCGCCACTCTCCGTGCCAAAGAACAAAAGATAAGGATACCGCCCCAAACAATTCAGTACGAATAAACAGCCTTTAAAAATGTCACCCGAAACACGCCTTTTGAATGTTCTTTTTCAAAATTCAAAAAATAATATTCCGCTCTAGTTTATGTTGCGGAGAGACATTTGCAGTTCTCTTCGGTGCTGATCAGTTTACTAAAAATATAAGTGGTGATAGCAACAGAGTCTCTATTGGCTGAAATGGACCAGGACCCGCAGATTATTGGGCTACAGTAGCTAAAGAAACCTGCTTTTTAAAAGGGACTTGTGGGAAATGGTGTTCTATGTGTACGTGTACTGGTTTTATACTTTCTTTCAAGAAAATAGTTATTTGAACTTTAGATTGTCTCCGATAAGGGCAAGCTGCTCATGGATGATACAAAAGCAAAAGAAAATTTAATTAGAAAAAAAAACTCGTCAAGCATAAAAGTACAATGCTATATTATTTGGCTGTGTATTGGTCATTTGTACCACTTGATCATTGTGCAAGTTGTTATGAAAACATTGGTTTAAGTTTCTCATTTTAATATTTTCAAAATGTATTACTTGAAATTGCAACAACTGATAAATTAACATGAAGAAAATCTTTTCTGGACTGGTTATTACAGTCTAACCTGCCAGACTGGGAAAAAAACGTATAGACACAAGTGGAACTTTTGATACTTAACTGCTCATGACGAGCAACATACAGGTACACGACCACTGTGATTATTTTCAAATCATTATTATTATTCTAAAAATTAAATCATCATTCCTTTCACATTAAATGTACAAATTGTCATATTGGGACGTTCTTTTGTAAAAATACAAAACAAGAAGATCAAATACGATTAAAGGACTATTTTTTTCTTACTAAAACTTAACTGAAAAATACGTTTTTTAATCTTTTTCTATAACTGTTGTTGTAGCTGTTGACGTCTTAAGGAGGCGACAGTTAGCTGCAAGCAAACTACAAAATGGCGACTTACTGTCTGACAGTCACCAGACTCCGGGTAAGAAAACGTTACTTTACTCCTGCAGTACTGCTTGGAACTCTGCTACCTTCGAGGGCGTGCAAAAAACAGATTTTTATTTTAATCGTGTTGCTGCTATCGCTTCTGGTTGACTCATAGTGGATAAACGAGAAGCTTAATGCGCCAACAACGTTTTCGTCCAGTCACTAAGTTCTCGCTTGAGCTCCTGTCAGCGCCGCACTGTGACGGCCAGGTCCCACGCGACCCGACCACAATTAAAACCGTTTTTAAATTTGTCAGTTTTCAGTGTCATGAACCTCAGTCTGTGTTTGTCAAGCGGTAGCTGTAAATAGGCCTCGGTAAGCTGCCGTTTGCAAGGTGATTAGAAGGTTACGGATGCTATTTTGTTGCGCACTTGATGAGAGTTCCCTCCTAACTGCCAACTGCGACGCAGCTGGAACGCATCATTTCAAATGAATTACGTTTGGTTGCCATAGAAACATGTGTTATTGCTACCTCAGATAAGCCTCTGTTATACACCCATTAATATTATTTAGCGTGGGTTAAAGCTACGGGGCAATGCATATCTATCTGTTAAAAATAGATGTTAGCTTGGTTGTGTCGTTTTTTTTAAAGGAGATATTCTGTTTTTCTTAGCTCTGCGTCAGTCGATTGTGTAGAAACCATAAACTGAAATATTAGTCTCGTGGTGTCGTGGGAGCTGAATGGAAAGCAAAATAAACTTGGATCAATTTTATTTAAGTGTGACCACCTCCTTACAGACATCACAAAAAACTGTTCACCTTCATGATAACACAGACATATTTGCCCTACTCTGTATTGACCTTGCTTTTTAAAACATTCCACAAGTCAAAGGACTTTTGCCTCCTTGTCACCTTTCGGATTAAGGCCCTCTCCTACCTGTAATCACAGTTTTAATGATCTGGCCAACTATGATATGTGCTTCTTCACAGCAGTGTCCCAGTTCAGTGTGGAGAGCTTATTTGTCTTTTATTGTGCTGTTGCAGACAGTGTGATGATTCATGATAGACTTGTGTGTGTATGTACTGAGAACACATGACACTTCCTTAGAAAATTTATGCACTTAATTATTATTATCCCTTTGATTTTACCTCACCAATTTGGATTATTTCATTTTGCTCCACTATGCCCAATGCAAAATACACATTCATTTACAGTATGCTATATTCTGGCTATTTTTTTAGCCGGCCTTTAGGGAGCTCAAGGTACCATGCCATAGTTTTTGTGCCTTGAGAAAAGTGTAGCAAACAGTGCCTGAGAATGTTTTATCCACTCAGTTCTTATAGTAAGCCTTGAAAACTTTCACCCAGTTCTCTCACAGCCCAATACGTGGATTAATAAAAATCAAAGTAAACTGGCTTAAAAAGTGTCCCTGCTAAATTACCTATGTATTTAGACCTCTGCCGTTCTCTGCTGGTGGCGACAGAAGAGGGAAAAAGGAAGAAGGGCCCTCATAACTGCTGTGGTGTTCAGGCAACTGTCGTGCTTCTGTTGGCAGTTTGTAAGCTGCTCAGTGCCATTATTTAAGGCTCAGTTCTAATCTTTGCTACTATGACGTTAATGTGCGATCACTGACTGAGCGGTTTGCCAATAAAGTGAAGGATTATTCTTATAATCTGGTTGAGCTGCCTGTACAAGATATCTTTTAACCTACTCCACCTTTTTTCAGGCTCGTATTCCCTGTCTGTCAAGTGCCCCTTGTTCTCTCACTTGATGTGTTTGTCTTAAACAACACAAGAAAACCATGGTTGTGGAATAACAGTCTGTTTTTTCCTGCTCTAGCGGGCCCTTGGAACTGGAGCAAGACGGTTACATGTCTCGGCAGTCTTCAGCGCCAAGGCCAAAGTGGCCATGAGCCGCTTTGAGCCGGGCTCCAGCATCGATTATGAGAAGCTGCACGAGAACATCAACATCGTACGCAGGAGGTCAGCAGCCACCCTTCTTAGAAATAATCCCACAGAGTTCTTGTTGATCCCAGTTTGGCTCACAAGGGATGGGTGACATTTATTACAGCTGAGCGATAGATCATGTGACACTTGCTGTGTTGGGATGTCAGAGGGGACTTGTTATGCCCAGAGGTAATTGTGGATGACCCTCCCATTTATCGTCTGACCTTATTAGTGGTTCTTCAATTACAATTAAAGACACTTGGCGGGGTGATTAAGAAAAGACGGACCAAATAGAGAGCAGAGAGGTGATCTTAAAGGGTGTAAATGACATGACGTGAGAAAAAATAAGACGAAACGTGAATGGAGTTTGCATTAACAGAAAATCTGTGTATCCTGCTTAAGAAAAAAACGCAGTATTACTGTATGCTTCTTCTTATGATCCACTCCGTCAGGCTCAACAGGCCTCTCACTTTGTCCGAGAAGATCGTATACGGTCACCTGGATGACCCGGTGGGACAGGAAATCGACCGCGGCCGCACTTATCTGCGCCTGCGTCCAGACCGCGTGGCCATGCAGGACGCCACCGCCCAGATGGCCATGCTTCAGTTCATTAGCAGTGGCCTGCCCAAGGTGGCTGTCCCCTCCACCATCCACTGCGATCACCTGATCGAGGCTCAGATCGGAGGAGCTCAGGACCTGAAAAGGGCCAAGGTGAGGAGAGGTGACGTCTGACTTTAACTGTTTTGTCCTCAGTGAGATCCTCACAAACAGGGGATCGTCTTTCCTCCCAGGCCGCCTTGAGAATTTGTGGCTGAACAGGACGGCTCTATATTTTTGCAGATTCTTGCAAATTCTGTGGTTAAAAACAACACAAATGATCATGTTAGTCAGAGCAAATACCAACATTTAAAGCGGTTGTAAATCCATGCCCAAAAGTTCTATATCGGTGCTTTTTTAAAAAAATGATCTCTTATGCCTTTACACAGGACGTGAACGAGGAAGTGTACAACTTTCTCGCAACAGCAGCTGCAAAATATGGCGTTGGTTTCTGGAAACCAGGCTCAGGGATCATACATCAGGTAGGATGTTGATGATACAAGGGACTTTTCTAATCTTAAAACATGTATTCTGCCCCTTATTTTGCACTTGTTTACAGCGACTTTTTCAAACATTTTTGGGAAATTCAAAATAGCCATTAAAAATAGATAGTTTCCCCAAATCCATAATGGCAATAGAGAGGATTTGCATATGGAAATAAAATCTGCTCATTGTCATTTTCATGTCATAAAATTTGAACTCATTGTAATGTAGATGCTATCATTAATGCCATTTTCTCTCGAAAGGTCCTTTTTGAATCGGTAGAGGGAAAAACAATTGCAGCTAACGGCAAATTTTCCGGTCTTTTGGCAGATCATCCTTGAGAATTACGCTTATCCTGGAGTCTTGCTGATTGGTACTGACTCCCACACTCCTAATGGTGGCGGCCTGGGGTCCATCTGCATTGGAGTTGGAGGAGCTGACGCTGTAGATGTCATGGCTGGAATCCCGTGGGAGCTCAAGTGCCCCAAAGTGAGTTCTTGGCACCATCTGACACTTTTTCAGCTTTTTAAAAAAAAGATTTGCCTTAGCACTATATTTTTCCCCTTAGATGTGTGTTTAACTCTGTGGCGTTTTCCCTCAGGTGATAGGAGTCAGACTGACAGGAACGCTGTCGGGCTGGACCTCTCCGAAAGACGTCATCCTGAAGGTGGCTGGCATCCTGACTGTGAAAGGTGGAACAGGAGCTATCGTGGAGTACCATGGACCTGGAGTTGACTCCATCTCCTGCACTGGTAAGAAAAAAAAAAAAAAACAGCTTGGAAAGCAACCTAAAGGTGGATTTGACAATCAGAAAAAGAGAAGACCCTTCTAATGTTATACATGAGCAGATACTGGATTATGAATTGACTTTAACATGTCACATTTTAGGAATGGCCACTATCTGTAACATGGGCGCTGAGATCGGAGCCACTACATCTGTGTTCCCCTACAACCACCGAATGAGGACATACATGAAGAAAACTGGTCGTGAAGGTCAGTTTCTTACTGCTTTATCAGTCTCCATGAGGAAGGCCTTTCTGCAGTATCAGGATACTTTCAGGCTTTCCGATTCATAATGGCTTCTATGCAAAGGAATCCAAAATTGTGCAGAAGTAGGAAAAAGTGTAAGAATGGCCTTTGGATCATGGCCGTGTGAGGTGAATCGTGACGGTGGTCCTGAAACTGCAGAAACCCTAAGCTGATGTCCACACACCATCCTCCATCTCTCCTCCTTCCTCAGAGATTGCCTCCGTGGCCGATGAGTTCGTAGAAGACTTGGTGCCAGACGAGGGCTGCGACTATGACCAAGTTATTGAGATCAACCTAAGCGAAGTGAGTTCAAACGCCTCACAGGCCCAGCATTTAGATTAGAGCAACGGCATCCTTGATTTACCCACAAAAATAGAGTTAAAGTACCTGTGAGAAACTGTAAAAAATACTGTATAATATATCAGTATCAGTAATCGGTATAAGTAATATGAAAGTATCATAGCAATTTGAAAAGTCTTAAGAAGTCATGCATGATCGTTTCCTGTCATTTATCCCTCCTTTAACAGCTGAAGCCCCACATCAATGGGCCGTTTACCCCGGACCTGGCCCACCCTGTCTCTGAAATCGGGACCATAGCTATGAGGGAAGGCTGGCCTCTTGAGGTTAAAGTTGGTCGGTGTGACACAGACATATTATCTTACAGTTTTCAGAGTTTTATTGCTTTGCCCAGTGAGATTTGATATTCCATTTTTCCCCCTACTCTCTATGTATTATTGACTGCATATGAGCTCACGTTGCAACTCAGTCAGGACGCTTGTATTCCAAAGTCACCCTGAACGCATCATAGTTCCAGTCATTGATAGAATGAGTTCAAGCAGAATGTTTAGAACTTTTACATCCTCTTCGGCAAAGCTGTTCTTTTTTTTTTACACTGTTAGAATTTCCACAGCTATCCAGTTTATGGCCATGACCTTTCTTGATTTCGCTCTCTTGCTGAAAAACTTACAGGTCTGATTGGCAGCTGCACCAACTCGAGCTACGAGGATATGGGCAGAGCAGCCTCCCTGGCCAAGCAGGCGCTGGATAAGGGCCTCACGTGCAAGGCCCAATTCACAGTTACACCTGGCTCTGAGCAAATCCGGGCCACTATCGAGAGGGACGGATATGTGAGTGAGCAACCTCTGCGCTCGTCTTTGACACAACAAAATTTAAATGCCTTTCAAAAACTCATTTAGCCTGTTTTCCTAGGCCAAGATCCTGAGTGACGTTGGAGGGATTGTCCTTGCTAACGCTTGTGGGCCCTGCATCGGACAGTGGGACAGGTATGGGCCACATTCTCAAGAGCTGATTTCTTGAAAATAAGTTTGTAGAATCAAATCCATGAATGCTGTTTCAGGTATATGCTACACAAATAGACATGCCCCATGTCAAAGTCCAGCACAGTTATAAAATCTATCAACAGTATGCTGTGTGATTGATTATAAATTATAATAGTTGGATGTTTCATTAAAACTCTATTTCTGGAGCAAAAGTTCCGCTTTAAACATAAAAAAAAAAATGTCTTGAACTGCACATGGATGCCCCCTCCGTTCCAGAGATGAGAGCGCCATATGAGCCGCTCATGTGCATGTTTACAGAACATGGAGACTTTGGGACTAAAGACCACTTTAAATAAACTTTGGCATGAACACATTTTTTTATGGTCTGGCTTTGCAGGAAAGATGTGAAAAAAGGAGAGAAGAACACCATTGTCACGTCCTACAACAGGAACTTCACAGGCAGGAATGACGCTAACCCAGCAACTCACGCCTTTGTCACCTCTCCTGAGGTCAGACACACTCTTTCTCTCCTTGTGTTTATCCTCCTGAATACGTTTTACCATCTCCGTTGTCCTGCTGTAATTTTTCTTTTTGTTTTTTTTGGGGGGGGCGCAGATTGTGACAGCTTTGGCTCTTGCTGGGACTCTCAACTTCAACCCCGAGACTGACTACCTGACATCTCCCAGCGGGGAGAAGTTTAAGCTGGATCCCCCCGTTGGCGATGAGCTCCCCTCCAGAGACTTTGACCCCGGTCAGGACACCTACCAGCATCCCCCACCAGAAAACATCTCAGTCCAGGTGACATCCGTCTTTGAATAGCCTCTCAGGAAAGTAGCACAGCACCAATGAAAGTGCTGATGCGGAGGCTCTGATTCCCTGTGTGTGTTTGATATGAACATGGAGAAAATCCTCCGTCTCACCTTGCTGCGACGTCTGTCCAGGTAAATGTAAACCCCTCCAGTAACCGTCTGCAGCTGCTGGAGCCCTTTGATAAGTGGCATGGAAAAGACTTGGAAGACATGAGGATCCTCATCAAGGTGAGAAAGAAATCGAGTCAACTTTTTTAAATGTTTTTTTTTTTTTTTTACCTCATTATCAAACCAGACCTGTCCTACCTGAGGGCACTCCTAACGGGCTCCAGCTGTAAGCCCTTAACAACGGCCGCAGGGCTGACCCATTTCCTTTTGGTACACTTTGTAAAATGGCACGTTACTGCAAAGGAGGTTGGCCGGGAGAGCTAATGATCCTTGTTGCTACTGTTTGTGCTCTATCCCATGTGTAATGTAGTGTATAAATTGTGGTTGTTTCGGGGGCAGGCGACCCAAATTTTCATTCGATTAGACCTGTCCTGATTAATACGTGCAGCAATTAGCTCAGTAGACGGATGTGTTCTTGGCTCTTTTAGTGAGACGGAGTACGCTGCACGATGAGATGTCCCATTTAAAGAACCCGTACGAGTCAGGCAGAACTCTTGTAAGCTGGCTCTTGCTCAGTAAGGAGGAGGTGAAAGCAGACATTTGCTGCGGTTTAAACACGGATAGTGATGCTACTCCCCCCATCTGGGCAGGACAGCATTAAAGGGTGTCTGCTGACTTGACTGTTGCCTTACCTCTCTGCTCTCTCATTTCACTTGCATCATTCTAACAATTTTATAGCGATCATTGTCTGGGAGTTAGCGAGGTTTGTTCAAATGGTTGCTGCTGGATGTTAGATCCTACAGGCTGGAGCCAAGGGGATACTTATTAGGGATTATTATCCTCAGGTGGTTCTTCTTTTTGTCAGCAGTCACCACTTGATTCGATATTTTTGGGTTTATCCTTATCTTTTTCCTTCTTCTTTGGTTGAATGATGGAAGATTTGAATAAGTCAATTTATTTTTCTGCTCCAATTTTTAAATCTGATCTTTGTCACTTTGGTGTGTGGTTGTGGGTCTGATAAATATCCAATATTGTGACAAGGAGGCTGTTATCAGAATCCATTAGGCTTAGGATCATACACATGCACAGGGCATTGTTTTTGTGTGTAGCTCTGCTACTACAGCTGCTAAAATGGCTTATATCTTTTGTCTCTGTTGCTTGAGCTCTCTTAAAACTGACTTTTCCTGCTGTTAATCTTACAAATAATGCAAACAAAAAGGGCTCGGAGTTACATGTGTGATGTGACATTGAACAGGGCATTGGCATAAAGCATGCAGAACTATCAACTAACATCCGATCAAGACTGAATTGTAAATAAATGACAATGAACACAGGTGAAGGGAAAGTGCACCACTGACCACATCAGCGCCGCCGGGCCCTGGCTGAAATTCCGCGGCCACCTGGACAACATCTCCAACAATCTGCTGATCGGAGCCGTCAACATTGACAACGACGCCGTGAACAAGGTGAAGAACCAGCTGACCGGAGAGTACGGGGGCGTTCCAGACGTGGCCCGCTTCTACAAGGTGAGATTCATTCTTGGGAGGGGTGGCGTCAAAGCGGTACTCAAATTGTTGGCTCAGCTGCTTATTTGAAACGGTGCCAACGTGTGGTGATTATGTTGTTCAACCACAATGGAAATTAATAAATTATTCAGAAAATTTGTCAATACGTGTAATATTACTCTGAAACGGTAAGCATATTGTTGCCACAGGCATCTAAAAATAACTTATTGTGGGCATTTTGCTTACTTATCACTCATTCTTCTTGTTTGACACCCCCCACCCCCCTCCCAGCCCTGCATTAATAAACAGTCCATGTGTGTTCCTCAATACAAGTTCAAACTGGTGTTTGAGCTTTTTGTCTGTTGTAAAACCCAGGCCAACAACGAGAACTGGGTGGTGGTTGGAGATGAGAACTACGGAGAAGGATCCAGTCGAGAGCACGCCGCCTTGGAGCCGAGGCACCTGGGAGGACGCGCCATCATTGTTAAAAGCTTTGCAAGAATCCATGGTTGGTCACACGGCAATGGAAAAAAACAAAAAAAACAAACAAATGGGATCAAATCAGTCACTGTTTTAAATTTGAAAGTTTTTCGTTCTTGCAGTCAATGACTTTTTTTAAATTAGATGAAATAGAAGTGATAGATGAACCTGACCAATCATTGCTGTGGTTGTGATAGGAGGTAACGTCTTGGTTCTGTCTCGGTTTCCACCTTTTTTCTCATCCCCACAGAGACTAATCTGAAGAAACAGGGCCTGCTTCCTTTGACCTTTAATGATCCCAGTGACTACGATAAAATCCGCCCCGATGATAAGATTTCCATCACTGGCCTGAAATCCTTCATGCCCGGCAAGGTGAGCAGAGACTTGCTCCAGCGAAACCCCAAACACAGCAAAAGCCCTCCTTGCATGTCGTTTACTCGTCCTGTTTCTGGCCTCCTCCAGCCGCTGACCGCAGTGATCAAGCACAGTGACGGGAGCCAGGAGTCCATCTCTCTGAACCACACCTTCAACGAGACACAGATCGAGTGGTTTAGGGCTGGCTCCGCCCTCAACAGGATGAAGGAGCTACAGTAATTGAGGACGAAGGAGGTGGAAGGTTGTGGGGGGCAGCAGGGGGGGTGCCAGTGAAGGGCCTCGAATTGGCTCCAGACGGAAAAAAATGTGGAATCTTGTGAGGTGCTTCATGAGGAGGGAGAGATGATGAAAATATGAATATGAGACAAGACACGCAAACACACACAAGGTCGCTGTTCAGACAAAAAGCGCACACACAGACACACACACACAAGCACTTACAGGCAAAGACAGGATTACTGTGAAAGCTCCCAGTCAACAGCCAGAGTGACACAAACGCACATAGCTGAGGCTTAGCGGCGTGTCTCTCTGCCGTCATCAGCAGTTTAAAATCAGATCCGTTGTGCTCGTTTGCTTTTGGTGGCATTCGGCTGACCCCGTCGTACGCAGATGCTCACCCCCTACGCCAGACGAGGCACCATTTAATTCTCCCTTGACAGGCTCGCCTCTCTGCTGTGTCACCTCTGAAACGGAGCGTTTAAAGGAAAAAAACAGATATTGATTAAGCTGTTTCCACCAAGATGGATTGGAATACAAAAAAAGACAACTAAAAATTAAGCGTTAACATATTTGGCTACAAAATACAATCTCTTGTTGACCTCATGACATCACCCATCTGAAATGGTTAAAGTACTTTTCTTTTCTTTTTTTTCCTTCCTCTCTGAAGTCTACGGTTATGAGCAGTGAACGAGTCACTCAGTGCTCATAACATGACTGACGCACACATTTGACTCGAGCTATGGGACCATTCCCAGTCTACACGCACGGGGGGGATGATCCAGTTATTACTGAAGTATGTGTGAGCACACTTTTAAGCCTGATTCAATACAAAATAGAGACCAATTTGTTTTTGTTTTTTTGTCTATAATCTTTTAGTCCTTTAACAGAACATGAAAAAAACAATATTACAGAAATCATTTTGAATATTCATGATTTATTATTGTGCGATAAATCAACAATTATTCTCACGTAGTCCTCTGCCTACCGTTGTCAGGTATATCTGATTGTGGGCAACTGGGTTTTGTGCAGACGTTTTTAGAGTTAAATTATGCAAAAGATGTCGGATGTAAAAGATAACAGAAACCGTACTAATCAAATATGTCCCATGCAGCATTATAGGGTTAAGACAGTCCACAAGGACATGATCATAGGAGATGATCGTACATTTAGGTGAAGCCGAATGCACTGGAGGTACTTGAATTGTTCATTTAGTCTGATACTGGTTTGTAATTTAAGATTTTTATCAAGGCAGAGAGGGCATCCCAAAATGCTGTTTGACTATGAGATAACATAGAAATGTCCCATTTCTTGACTCCGGTTGACAGAACAGAAAAATATATCAATGAGAGCAGATTCATTAGAAATGTCTCTGTGTTGATGGAACACTTACACTCTACTGTTCTTAGAAATGGATGATACTTTGTGTGCGCAGAGCGAGTCTAGTGAGTCCACCACCAAATGTGCTATCTTGTTCCTTCAGGTTTGATAAGATGGTTCATTTTTACTTTTACTGTTGATAGTAACACACTGTAAACAAGGACAGACCACAGACCTCCATCACGGCTGAATAAAGATGTCCTTGAACTAGATCCAGATCTAGATTGACGTGAAAAGTCGATTGCCTCTAAGTCGGGCCATTTCACACCTTTGTCTAAACCTTAATGCAAATCCGTCTGTAACTTATCCGAGTGTTCCTTTTTCTTAAGGAACCAATTGAGTATCGCCCCTCTCTTGTCTCAATTACTCACTGTAAGCAGTATTGTTAAAATCCAGTGTGTTCCCACTCAGCTTCTGCTTACCCCATTCTCACTCAGTCTTACAGTCTAATAGCTTTTCCTATTTATCTAAGTTGACTAGTCTGGTTCAATAATTCTGTTCTGTCCAATGGAATGGGCAGATTTAGTTGCCTTAGGTGTACAGGGCTTTGTATGTCATTGTTTTGTCATTCCTGCGCACAGAGGAAAAAGCCGACAACTGTATCATGTGTGTAATGAACCAGCCACGGCCAGGTTGTTTCACAGCATGTGTAAATGCTCTAAAGCGTCTCAGATCAATTAGTCATTCGTTACATTTTTTTCCTCATCTTTATTGTCCTTTTCCCTGCAGTTTTTTCAGTTGGTCCCCTGTGTCATCCGGACCAGTCAGTGTGTGAATTTTCTCATAGGGGTGGGATGGGAGATGGCTGTGTCTGCCTTTGAACTGATGGTTTTCCCTGGTTATGGTGTGGTCCTCCACGGCATCGGAAGGCCTTCCCTCTTCTTCTGCAAACTAACGCACAATCTAGTGTCCCGATACCTGGACACGAGAACTTCCTTAGGGTTAGAAAAGTAGTTTTTAGGTGTGGCCTATATCATTCTCTGCACACGTAAGACAGATTGATTATCAACGCACAATCATGTAGAAGAAGACTTGGCTGCATTAACCTTTTTTTGAGTATGTGTTGTGTCCAAAGTGGGGTTACACATTTCTGCACAATGTTCGAGGTGATTTATTCTGTTTGAAACAGGACCACTGATAATTCTCAGAACCTAATTATCATCACTGCCCTGAAATTCTGAAAAATGATACCTGTCTTTGTTCTGAGAAGTAAAATCCGGTTCCCGAATGACAAAGCTGACCTAGGATGCCGTTTGTAAATGATGTGATGTACAGTTGCACTTTGCACAAGAATGTGTTTGTAAGTAAAAATGATAACAGATAAGATATGTTTGAAAGATGATTGAATATAAGGATTTTTTACATGTATATAAGTAATGAGCGAGGTATATGCCATATGCTGCCTGTCTGTGAGGGGGTTGAACTAAGAAAGATTCAAGTGAATGATTGCTTCCGATAAGGCACAGTTACTGAGTTGTGAATGGATCATTTCTAAGAAGGTGGCCCTTGAAAGCTTTATGAATTGTCTTGATTTCACCTTTTGTTGAAATGGTTGCCCAGAAATACAGTCCGTCCAATTTTAGGGACTTCTGACATTCCCGAATTCTCATACACTCCAATACTGAAATGCCACAAAAGATTTTTCTTTTCTTATTTGAAAAAATCGAACTTATGTTTCCAAAATGAAAATGAAAATATGAACTTGTCATGGATGCCATTTCATACTGAAGACTAGCCTCACTATCCTGCTTCTGTGTTGACTCTGAATTTGTAAAACTACCCTGCTGTTTTATAGCTTAAAAATGTCAGAATAAATAATAAAGAGGAGTTCTGAATGGATTTTTTCCCCTTTTTTTTTTAATTGTGTCATATAAGGAAGAATCAACCTCAGTTGGAACGTAGTTTTAAATATGTTTACATGTGAATTATTACACTGACTATCTGCATTCAGGTTGCCGTGTCCTTTTGCTCATTCTGAAGTGTTCAGTTAGATTAAATTTATAACCAATAACACTACAAGTGTCACAGACATTAGCAATGGATGTCCGATTCCAACATCCACCTAATCACGTGACCCAAACCAGTGTTTTAAATCAGGCTTTAAGATAATGTATCAAACTTCATGCGCAAAATAAAATATACTACAGAAATATGAAAGCATTAAACTCCCCGTTGGGTTTGAGTTCGCCTCCGTGGTCGCCAGCCTGGGTGATACTGGTACTTCTTCAATATGACGGTTGTGTCACGTGATTAGGTGGATGTTGGAATCGGATATCCATTGCTAATGTCTGTGACACGAAGTAACATTGGCCATTTTTACAGCGAATTTTTAGACGCTGAATTTGAGACAGCGAATTTGAGCAAGTTGAATTGGAGGACAACGAAAATAATGCATTAGAATTTTGAAAAATTGAATTTTTTATATGCTGAATTTTTTAACACTGAAAATTTAAACTGTGAAAAATATGTATATTGAAAATTTGATCACTTTGAAATAGGAATGTGATTTTTTTTAATAACTGAAAATTGCAACCATGTAAAAAAAATTACACTGAATTTTTTTTTAATGTACAAATAATGACATTGAATTTTTTTTAGGTTAAAAATATATTCTGAATTTATTTTAATACTGAAAAAGTAAGCACTAATATACAACATTCAAATTTCGGAGTTATTTCGGAGTTATTTTTTATTCAAATTCTGATGGCACATATTTACTTCCATATCAAAAGTCCAATTATGAGATAATAGTAAAAATATGGAAATAAAAGGTTAGAAATTAAGTTGCATTGTTACATTTGCGATATAATTTGCATGTCTGGGTCTAAAGTTTGTTTATTTGTACATATTTAATATAATATATTTTCTAAAAAAAATATTTTAGAATCACCGTCAAATCTTGTACTGCGCCTTTAAGTTTTGCGACGTGTCGTAAAGAAAGCACCCGTCGTAAATAATCACATGGAGACGTTATGAACATTTCCGTTGAAAATAAACGCTTCGTACTTTGCTTTTTCAACTGTATTGTGGCCGGTTCTCGTTCAGTCGTTTCTTGAGATGAAGAACTAAGAATGGTGTGCCGTTAAACTTACGACCGCGCGTCACGCTGGCCTCTTTTTGTGTGTGAATGAGTGAGTGGAGGCATAAAGTGTACTCCGGGCATCATGTTCGTGCTGGTGGAGATGGTCGACACTGTCCGGATAACTCCGTGGAGCTTTCAGAGACAACTGAACGAGGCCATAGCGGAGGAGCTCAACAAGAAACTTGCCAACAAGGTGAGTGACAGAGGTTTTTGTCAGATATCCACACCGAACTTGCACATGTGCCTGTGAAGTTCACAGTCTCCTGCAGAACAACAAACAAGTTAATTTTCGTAGTGCTCATTTGATTCAAAAGCTTAATTTTCCCTAACATGTTCTGCATTGAATAATTTAAAACTCACATAGTCGAATAGGACTTGAAATAAAAATGCATCATCCACCTGAAGGTTCTTCCGACACTAAAAGTCCCTAAGATTGAATATAATGGTGTCATTATAAGTAAGAAGGACATTGAATCCTTTTATAGTCATCGAGCAAGGCTGTCCTCTTGGGCATGAATGGTCTCATGACCCTATAACTGAGGAAGTCTCTGTCTGATGTCACTGCGTTTACTCCTTAGGTTGTGGACTTATGCTTGTGTAAAATTGCTCACTATAACTCAAGGCTATAATTCTCGTGAAAGGGTTTTTCTCCCAATGCTAAGTTTCAGGTCTGAGAAAGCTTTAAACTTGGAGGGGATGCTAAGTTAAAAACAGATTTACGAAACATATTTGACTAAGTAATTGTTGTGGTCATGACGTTAAACGAAGATCATTTCTATTCTGTTGAGTAAATCCTCACGTTGATTATATAATTAGTTTTAAAAAGAAAAGGTAAATTACCCAATGTTACTATTGTCATGCATTAGTTTTATTTTCTTCAACTTCACTGCATCTGTGCATTTAAATATATAAAGGGATTCTAATAGTGAAGTCAGAAGACTGGAATACATGTGTGTTGGGTCGAGTTGGTTCGATCTAGCTCTGCTTTGTCCACCCGGCTCCGTTTATCCCAGGTGGTCTACAACGTGGGCCTTTGCATCTGCTTGTATGACATCACGAAACTGGAGGACTCCTATATTTTCCCAGGGGATGGAGCCTCACACACCAAAGGTAGGCGGATGACGACAGAAGCGGTGAGAAAGTATTATGGATTATGAGAAGTTATGGGTAAACAATTCACACAACTCTTATGTCCATTTTGCCTCTGAAGAGAGAAGCTTAGATCACACAGTAGGTGCGCTGCACTGTGAAGCACCTTAAGCATTAAAGCAAAACCCTCTTTGTTTTTTTGAGGGTTTTTTCTCGCTTTGTGTGTGTTGATCATGAATCCCTGAAGGGTTTTTTCTTTGTTTCCCCCAAATGATGCGATCCTGCTTTTCTTCTTGCTATCGTTTCAGTTCATTTCAGGTATGTCGTATTCCACCCATTCCTCGACGAGATCCTCATTGGCAAGATCAAGTACTGCAGCCAGGAGGGGGTTCACGGTAACGCGGCGCTTCCTTTCCCAACCAGGGCTCCAAACAAATGTGTCGAGCTTGAACTAGGGTTGTGGAAAATGTAATGAAGAGAATAGCACACACTAGAGGTCTTACTCAAAAGATATATATATATATATATATGCAGTGTTGTTTATATATATGTGTATGTATATATATATAGCTTACCATATTTGCTAGTTGCAGTAATATCTTATGTAAAAAAGTTGCTATCAACAAAAGATGCTTAACAAAATGACACAAGCCTGTTGGCCTTTTTCTTTTGAGTTTTGCACACGACTTTTTTAAGTTTTACAAATCTGTACAGTGACCCAGCAGTCCTTTTTTTTAAAGGTCTGTTTTTTGTTGTTGTTACAGTTCTGTTATATGGCTGCGAATGTGTCTTAAATGCCGGTTTCTCTGCCCCGCAGTGTCGATGGGCTTCTTCGATGACATTCTCATTCCACCAGAGTCGCTCCAGCAGCCGGCAAAATTGTATCCTGACCTTACGCGCTTCGTATCCGGGGCCTTATCCGGGTCCTTATCCGGGGCCTTATCCGGGTTCCCTTTAACTTGTGGTGAGGCCTCCTTAGCTGGCGCGTCAGCGACGAGGCCGAGCAGGTGTGGCTGTGGGAGTACGAGACGGACGAGGGAGCGCACGACCTGTACATGGACCAGGGGGAGGAGATCCGCTTCAGGGTGACGGACGAAGTCTTCGTGGACACGTCGCCCACGGGCCCGGCGGCGGCCACGCCCGACAAGCCGCCGGCGCCGCCCGGCCAGTCCACGGCGCCGCCGGCCGAGGACAGCGGCGAGAAGAAAGAGGCGCCATACACTCTGATCGTAAGTCAGAGCTGCACACACACACACACACACACACAGGCGGACGCTCAGAGGGTGCTAATATGAACCTTTTGAGTGTCATTTTTCTGTCCAGCGTTAGCTTTTTGTGCACATTTAAGCTTGATTGTTAGCTTTGGATGCTAAATCCAGAAAGAGGAAGGTGGTTGATTCACCCCTGTAGGGCTCAGTGGTGACGCCACCTCACCTCTAACAGATCTTGTTTGCGTAGCAGAGATAACGCCGCCCTTCTCTTTTCCCACCCTTCTCTCAGGGGACCATCTGTGAGCCCGGACTGGGGCTGCTGTCGTGGTGGAACAGTTAGCAACAGTGGGGAACGGGAAAACGGGACTGTTCGGGGCCCAGGAGCAGACGGCCCATCCCAGCTGAAGCACTTCTCTGCTGTTTTCTCACAGAAAGGGACAAAAAACAAAAACAAAGCGGCTTTCTAAAGCAAGACGAAGTCGGCTTGGAAGTATTTGGTGACAGATCTCCAGACAGTACCGTTGGCTGTAGTGACACCCCCACTATACAGGCTTCCCGTTTCCAAGTACACTCTGCTCTCACAAGTATTTATAACAAAATTATGTTTACACGACACATTTCTAACATTAATAAGTTCTGCAGACAGAGCGTCTCAGCACAGCTGGATGAAGACGTGAGCAACAGTTTCAGCTGGTTGAGTTTTTGTGGCGATGTTTGAGCTGAATCAGCACAATGACCGTCATGAAGAAGTTACATTTCAGGGGGTGCCTGGGTTTTCATTGAGTAAGATATCCGCTCCATGTTTGTGGCAACTTGGCAAGATGTTATTTATCACCCCTGTGTTTATCTGTTTTCTGTGCCCCC